TCTCCTAACTTGGATATCCAGTGGGTCAATCCCGGCTTCAGCTTCTGCTATGGGGATTGACACAGTTTTGAAGAGTCCAGTGATGGTTCGCGCTGCTGTTCTCTGGACTATATCCAATGGTTTTGTGATCCAATACGAGATTTCAGTGTTCTTATTGATGGATGTCCAAACTGAAGCCGCATAAGTGATTGCTGGAACCACCAATGCCTCATATAGTTGTCGTGCAGTATGAGTGGTCAGTCCTCTCAGTCTGGCTAGGGCTTGCACTGCCTTGATACCCCTTTTGGTGACTCTTCCAACATGATCCTTAAATCGAAGTTCCTGGTCTAGGACAACTCCTAGGATCTTAGTTGTTGTGCTGGGGCCAACCTCCTGTTGCTCGATCTTTAGGGGAAGGGCTGGCAGCTGTCGTTGTGTTTTTCGCTTGGTGAAGTGGATGAAGCTAGTTTTTTGGGCCTCAAATGTGGCTCCAGACTGGGCAGCCCATTGTAGTGCTTTGGGTATGACTTGCTTCTGGATTCTTCTTGTATTCTCTTCTGCTGATGATCCAACCACCCAGCGCGTAAAGTCATCAACAAAGGCAATTGCACCTTTGTTTTGAGTGATCTTGGTATCCACTAATCCGGCATTAAAGAAGAGGTAAAGGATTGGTGATAGCGGTGAACCCTGTGGGAGCCCCAGGAATGTGATCTCCATTTCCTCTGAGCAGTGTTGATTGACTACAATCACTGCCTTTCGGTTTGAACAGAAGGCATCAACCCATTGTACCAGTTCCACTGGGATCCTTCTCTCTCGCAATCTCTGGATTAAGACTTCTTTGGCCACGCCGTTATATGCCCCCTTAACATCAAAACTGACCAAACTGAGCACCTTCCTCTCTCTCCATGCCTCATATATCTTCTCCATGAGGATGTTGAGTGCTTGTTCACTGGATCTCCGTCTCCTTGCTCCAAAATGGTTTTCAGGTAGCAGGTTGTATTTCTCCACCAGGTAGGATATTCTTGTGGCAATGGTGGCCTCCAGTATTTTACCTAAGGTGGACAGCAAAGAAATTGGTCGGTATGAATTAGGTAGGGTGTGGTCCCTGTCTGGCTTCCTCAGTGGGATGATCTTTGCTACTTTCCATTGTCTAGGAATGTAGCTTAATCTGATTGATGCCCGCAAGAGGTGGCAGATCGTCTTTCCAACCACAGGCCAGAGCATTTGCCACACCCCTACTGGCAGTTGGTCTTGCCCAGGGGCCTTCCATTTGTTCATCCTCATTGTTGCATCTTCTACTTCCCTGTCTGATATAGGTTCCAAGGTAAGTGATGGTGGGAATTCCGCTGGTCTCTCATGTTGAATTGGAGGAAGTGGTGGGAAAAAAGCTTTTAAGAGAAGTTTAGCTTTGTCTTGATCTGTTTCCACCACTGTGTTTCTTGCTTGTAGTGTTGGTATTGTATTGAGGCTTGCTTTGTTATCTCTTGCATATTTTGCTGCTTGCCAGATATTATCTGCATCCTCCAGGAACTTCCTCCAATGTTGTCGCTTTTGATCTCTGATTGCAGTGTGATATCTCTGGCGAAGTACACGTACTGCTTCTGCCAGATCTGGACAAGGGACCTCATATCGGCTGAACCTTGTGCATTGGTTCTTGACTGCCGAGTATTCTTTTTGCAAACTAGAAAGCTCCGCGGTCCACCATTTCTTGCAATAAGGGGAAGGTCTTGCTTTCGGAGTATTCTCTGTGATCACTCTGGTTACCCGTTCCATCAGAGTTTGGAGGTGATGTTCCAGGGAGTCTGGTTCTTTTATCTCCTTGTATGTCCACTCATTCTGTTCTAGATCATGTCGAATCTTGTCCCAGGGGGCATGTTGAAAAAGGTACCTTGGTAGAACTGTTTGAGACTCTAGTCTGCTGGATGTATCAGTTGCAAAGACTGTTTCAATTGCTCGGTGATCTGATCCATGCTCATTTTGGTGGGTGTGACAGTGTATCTTTCTCCTTGCAAGGGATTCTGAGGCCAATGTGAGGTCAATTGTTGACTTCCAAGGGCCTGATTCATATGTTATGGTACCCCGGGGAAGCAGGCTTTGTAGTCCGAGTTCTATCATTAGTTCCAGCAGTGGCTGTGCTTCTCCCAGCCAGCGCGAGTTCGCGATATGGTCACCTCCCCACATAGGGTCATGTCAATTGAAGTCTCCTGTAATGAGGACATCTAGTTTCTCTTCGTGTTTCTCTTGTTGGCTCTTGCATATCTTCTTTATCTCCTGGGTTGTTTTTTGCAGTCTCGTGTATCCTCTTGGACCTAATTCAGGTGGGACGTAGACTGATATAGCCACCAGGTGTCGATTGTTCACTGGTAGTACAACTGCCGTTATATCTGATGAACCTGTGTCCACCTCTTGGGCCAACCCTCGATCCTTTTTCACCCAGATCATACTGCGAGTTGCCGTCTTCTTGTTATTCTCATCTTTGACTTCTGGTGGAAGGATTGGTTGCCATTTGTTGTGAGTATGGGTAAATCGTTCTCCATCAATCTCATAAATGCAGGGTTCCGTTATCATTAATAGGTCGTTATTCGCCAGGGTACTGTCATTCAGAAGGCTGAGCTGGGTCTCTGGTCCTTTCCTGAGGTTTGCCTGTATCACTTGAAACATTAATTGGGGTTAGAGATGGTCATGCCAGGATTCCTGCCATGAACTTGGGCTCCATTTCGATTTCTGAGCTTCGTTATCTCATCTTTCCATTGACTGCAACCTGAATATGATGCCTCATGACCTCCTCCACATGCTCCGCATTTTCTCTCTGCAACTGTGCATTCAATGACCTTGTGGGATCCAGCACATCTCCCGCAAACTGTTTGATTTTTACATCTAGCCTCTTTATGGCCGTACTTCTGGCAGTTACGACATCTCATTGGTCTTTGTTGGTATTGATATTCAGATGTGAATGATACTTCACCCCTAATCTGGACCATTTTGCGGTGGAGTAGCCGTGAGGCGTCACTCGCCTTAGAGAGATATGCTATCATGGATCCGTATGGTTTTGGGCCACTAAGCCAGGATATCCTCTGGGCCTGGGCTTCGTTTTCTTGTTGGAACATGTCCTTAAAATCTTCTCGCAGTTCCCCATTCTCAAAGACATCGATCTTCCTGACATCATCTATTTTGATTGGGTACCACGGTTCTTGTCCAAGCCTTGCCCCCTGCAGTTTTTCTAACCAGGCCTGGTTCTGCTGGAGAACCCTGGCGTCTTCCTCGCTGTTCACAAAAACTTTAAGTGAGTTCCCGGGAGTAGATTTCACTCCTTCAACCTGAACCTGTTTGGTGTTTTGATCTTTGCTCAGTTCATTGTTAATGGTTGTTTTGGTTAAGGTTGGGTCGGTCAGGAGTTGTTTTGTTTCCATTGTAGCCGTCCATAAGTTGATCTTGATGCTTGGAAGACCTAGTGCTGCTCTTGCCATCTGGGTTGCTGGAGAGATTGCTGAAGATGGGGTCACCACAGACGCCCAACTTCTGCCTGTGCTCGGTGATTGAACTGGAGGAGTAGCCAGCTGCGATCCTGAAATTGCTGTCTGGATTTCGCCAACCATTTTCTTGAGTTCATCATTGTAGTTGGCTTGTGTTGACTCGATGGTCCCAGTGAGTGCCTTGATTTGTTCTTGCATTAACACGATTTGATTTTGGTGTTCCTGCTCCCTCCTCTCAGCATGCTGTTGGAGGTGCTGGATCGCGGTCGCCTGATCATCCAGCTTTTCTAAAACCAGATGCAAAAATCTGGTAGAGCTGGAGGAATTTGATCTTGTCTCGTTGTCTTGGTTGTTGATCTGCTTTGTTGGGTTTGTTTTTCTGGTTCTTTTTCCGCTGAGGGACGCGTCGTGCGCCTGTTCTTCGCTGAGGTGCGCTGGTCGGCTCACATTCCTTCGTGGTCTTCCCTGGCCGGGAGAGGTGCCTGTTGACGCCTCTGTATCAGAGTCTCCCATTGCTTCCCTTTCGTCGGCTCCCGTAAGTCTTCTGAAGCTCGTGACTATGGTAGTTGTATACCATCTACCAATGCCAAGCCATGGTATATGGTAGTTGATCACGTGATGCGCCTGTTAACTATCACCTATGATCCCTGTCCTTCCTGCATTATTACCAGAGCTTATAGTCCAATGATTCTGCCTTGACTCCCCGCATAATCACGTGAGATTAGTGCCTTAGGGGTCTGTAACACTGGTGTCAATGTCAAGAGATTGCGGACAAGGTCTCAGTCAAGTTGGGAATTCTCAAGGAAAGCAGGGACTGTGTTCCTATTCCAGCTGCCTTTGTTTGACCAAATCTCAGGATGTGTTTTGCAAATCCTGGCCAGTCTTCCTTGGACAGCATTGGTTGTTCTTTCGTATTGGGGTGTTGTAGCTACCATTCCAGCCACAATTCCTTCTTGGATACCTCTGACCATGGCCCGTTTATTGGTCAGTAGACGGCCAATTGTCTCTGGTGTGATTCCCCACATATTGAGTACAATAGCAACTGCATCTTCCTCCTTAGTCCAACACACCCGATCCATTTTGTATAACCCCAAGGGCAGATATGGATGAAAGAGAACTCATGCCAAATCTGGCTCTTTAAATATTCTATGCTTTATTTATTCCAGATCTTCAGTCCACTCCATAATTGTTGAGACTGTGCCACATGAGTCCATCTCTGAATCGCAAAAAGTTTTGATACCAACATGTTGCGGCTCCTTTCTGTTGGAATTGTCCCGGTACTACCGATAACCAATCACTAGTTAGGAGAGAATGTAACAAACAACCTCAGGGGAGTTTTGCCTGAGCTTGCTGCAACTTACGTTCTCGACCATTGGAAGTTGTGACTCACTCTTGTTTGACAAAAGGTACAATACCATCACCTACTAGAATATATTGTCTATCAGCTTATTCACTGGACATTTGGACAGTGTCCAGCTGAACAACAAGAGATCTACAATGCCGTCATCAAATATCTACACCAAGCAGATAATGCACCGTGGCTATTTCCACCCCTTATTGAGCTAGAGGGCCTTGGTCGACGATTCCTCGCCCGGCCAATAAGTAGTGAACAAGATCTAGTGGGCTATGAGTGATTTGCTGTGGAAGATTATGTGCACAGTTGATCACAGAATATGTTGAATAACCAATGCCCAATATGAATTCCAACTCGGGTGTTATCCGGTTCAATGACCATGCCAATTCCCTAGATGGATCCTGATGACAGTGGGTTGGTTCCAGACCGTTTATTGATTATTGAGTCCAGAGTAGAGGTGGCTTGAGGGGTGGATCCTTGGAGTGCCGAGCTTTCATCCAGTTTGATTCATTTCACCGCTCAAAGATGATCAATTTCTTCCAAAACCATTGGTGTCTCATCCTTCCAGCCGATCTTTGCCAACCAATCCGGGGTCGTATACGATCGAAATCGATGAATCGCCCATTTCCCACCCAAGTCCAATGCAGGAATGGAGCTCGACCACTATTCCTACCAAACTGCTCTAGATATTCAGCATTCGATGAGCGCCAGTCAAGAGATGAAGTTGGTGACAGACTAGCATCTTCAACTACTCCAATCGATTCCCTGTTGCCTGTCCGGCACAGGCCAGGAGAAGCTGGATACTTTTTCCTGCTGACTATTCCCAATACACAACGGATGCCAGTCATAAGCATGACAAATCAACAGTTCAACCTGTCCTTATACGCCAACCAATTCTTTCTCACCTGCGGGTCAGGGAAGGCTGAGTTGTTGTCTATGCATCCAGAACTCAGATGAAAGGAGTTAAAAATAAAGCCAAAGCGGAGGTGGCCGATGCCGCTGCGCTAACAATGGAACACAATAACTAACAGGTTGTTCTTCGAACAAGGCAACCAATCGTAGTATTGTACGTAGGCATGAACATGGCACAGTGATATTCATAGAAAACTGATCCACCAGGGGACGCGCAGCCAGTGCAAGATGAAGGATTTGACGATGACGTGACGAAAATTATGGACCATTCAATTTGCAGGGAATCATAGTATCTCAAACATCATTCTCCGTTAGCAGAGTTTTCAACATGAGTAGGGGACCACACTGGTGTCAGACTGCAGCTTTAGGATGATTATGACCGCATTCTGCGAAAAGGGGGTGGCGCAAGGAGGGGATCTAGACTGAGGATCAATAGCAAAAATGCCTCACCAAATTCATAGGCGGCAGGAGCGAAAGGTGAAAGAAAATTTGGTTGAAGTTGAAGCAGCGATGGAGGGCGACTTTATAGAGCACGCACAGCAATGCCAAGCGGCAATGGGACGCTAAACCTAAACAGGAACGCTATACCGCTTCTAGTAATTCGCCGTCACCCAAGACTACGGAGTACAAAGTGTATCCGAACTCCGCATTGGGATATCGGAAGCGCGCGGGGCTTTCGGAAGAGTGCCCAATTGAATGTGGGGTAGCTATCGGGCGAGTGCATGCACTTCAGTCCGGATGATTACATTACAGATGCATGCAGGTGCATGCGAATATTGCTAGAACAACGAGTTGATGAGACCTATGGACTCCGTATATTCTAGCGGAATACCCATTTGCAAGTGCCTATAAGCTATAACAAGATAAACCCTCTGTGGGGTAAAGCCGTCCTATCGTCCTATCGTCCTATCGGGTATACCCCAGCCGTACTTTGTATTCCGCATAGTATACCACTACTCCACACGTAGCCACTGTGGATGCAGCTTGTTTGCTCTGTGCTGTCGGAAGACATTGACCACGCAATCCCAAGAATGGGTTATATAGCCATGGCTATAACGGCTCACCATCCGACAGCCTAATTCGCCTCCACTCGCTAGCCGAAGCTTGACGCCGAGTTCCGACTGCCCAATCCAGTACAGCATATAAGCCAGCCAACACTATACGTAGACTAGACCATAGACCTCAATCCCAATACCAAGTACAAACAGACAAACAACGACAATGGCTAAAGCCCAAAACTTCCACGTCGCCATCATCGGCGGCGGCATCGCAGGCATAACCCTTGCCATAGCCCTGCACCACCGCAACATCCCTCTCACAATCTACGAACAAGCGCCAGCCTTCGGCGAAGTCGGCGCAGGAGTCTCCTTCTCGCCCAACGCCGTGCAAGCCATGAAAGTATGCCACGACGGCATCCACCGGGCGTTTGAAAAAGTATGCACGCGCAATCAGTGGCCCAGCAAACAGGACGTGTGGTTTGATTACCTAGACGGATTCAATTCCGCGGGGCACGAACCGGGAAAGGGGCAGGAGATTAAATTTACGATCAGGAATGGATTGGGGCAGAATGGGGTTCACCGGGCGCATTTTCTGGATGAGATGGTGCGTTTGATTCCGGAGGGAATCGCGCGGTTCAATAAGCATCTTGACACTGTGGCGGAAAGTGACAGCGGGAGAATGGCGATGCGGTTTAGTGATGGGAGTGTTGAGGAGGCGGATGTGGTTATTGGGTGCGATGGGATTAAATCCAAGGTGCGCGGGTTGATTGTTGGTGAGGAGCATCCGAGTGCGACGCCGTCGTTTACGCATAAGTATGCGTATCGGGGGTTGGTGCCGATGGAGAAGGCCATTGAGGCAATTGGGGAGGAATTGGCGTCGAATTCGTGCATGCACGTGAGTTTTGTACCTTGTGCGTTGGTTTGAGTTACAGGACTAATGATGTAGATGGGCCCGAATAACCACATGTTGACGTTCCCCGTGAATCAAGGAAGAACGTTGAACATCGTGGCTTTCCATACCACGCCAGACGAGTGGACGGACTATCCGCGCCTGACTCGCTCGGGTACTCGGGATGAAGCACTGCGCGACTTTGCGGGTTACGGGCCGAACGTGACGAACTTGCTGAAACTGACCGATCCGGAGTTGGCAGTGGTGCGTATACCATGCTGCTTCATAAAGAAAGAAAGTGCTAATAAAAGTAGTGGGCAATCTATGACCTAGGAGAAAACCCGGTGCCAACATTCTACAAAGGCCGCATCGGAATCGCCGGGGACGCAGCTCATGCAACGTCCCCTCACCACGGAGCAGGCGCCGGGTTCTGCATCGAGGACAGTGCGGTGCTAGCGACCCTACTGTCAGATGAACGGGTCACAACGGCCAAGGATTTAGAAGCTGTATTGGCGACCTTTGACACCGTGCGTCGCGAGCGCAGTCAGTGGTTGGTGCAGAGTAGTCGGTTTATCGGCGATGCGTATGAATGGCGGGCTCCCGGAGTTGAGAAGGATGTGGAGGGAATCGAGAGGGAGATTAACCGACGGAATGGGATCATTGCCAATGTAGATATAGAGGAGATGTGTGGAGAGAGTGTTAGGGTGTTGGGGGAGAAGTTGAGGAGGTCGCATTTATAGAGCTTTTTTTTTTTTTTTACATTAATTTACATTTTAGTGCATTGATTTTGCATGAGGAATGTATGGGAGTCGATGGGGAGTCGATGCGAGTCTATTATCGGGATTTTAAGTGGCCAGAGCTCCCCCGTATTCCCACGGTTTCCCCTCCTGAGGCTTTTCTTTTATTCTCATTTCTTTTATCTTTTATTCTTCACATTCTTCACATTTAAAATTTACATTACACTTCACGTCCGTATACACCCTTATACACCCTTATACTGCATACACTCCCACTGCATACATCCCCATCGAGTACATCAGCTCCAGCTAAGCTCAGCTCGGAATGTCCAGCTGAGCTCCCCTCGTATCTATCTATTCCTTTGCTCTATTCTCTATTTCTGTCTCTATTCCCTATCCTCTTTCTGTCTATACATTGTCTTTATCTTTCACTTGCTCTACATTCTTCCTCGTTCTACATACAGTCGACATGCCCCCCCGGAGCTCCCTCTCCTCCTTTTCGGTGACGGATGCCTCTAACGAGGTCGTTTGTCCTCTGAAGAACAACGACGGCTCCAATTGTCGCAAGCGATGTTTGGGAGTATGCTGCTGCAGAGAATATCGCTTGATATCGTCTAATACAACTCCAGGAAAAACGCTTTCGCTCGATGCAGGAGCACATCCGGCGCGCTCATCCCACTCATTACATTCCTAAGCTGCCGGCTACCGAGGAGAGCTTTCTTCTCATGGTGAACCAGGGTATTTATCTCTACAGAGGTGTCTACATGATGTCTCTCTGACTCTATAATCTGCAGAGAAGGCTATACAAGTTGATTCTCCCCCCGATGAACCTCACCCCGCCGCCGCCACCGCCGCTGTCGCACTGGCTCAATTGCACCATCATCGCCTCGCCTCCGACTGGGAGGAGGTATGCTTGCGTTCACCGGCATTCCGGGCGTCGCTAATAACTCAGGACACTCGCTCCGTTGAACTCCCGCCTCTGCGCGATCATTTTAGACACGAGGACTCCCTGCCTCCCTTCTCTCCCCCGCGCCCGAGAAAGGATTTCCTGCTCCCCTCCATCCTGTCCCATTCGCCCCCACCGCGCTCCTCGACGCTGCCCCCGATCCACCGCAAAGACCGGCTCCCCAGACCGCGCAAGTCATCCATCACGCAAAATGCTCACAAACCCAAACACGATCGGCCCCGTCGTCCCAGTCTCGGTGAACGCAAGGCCTTGTCTGCGGAACCGCAAGCCGCCGCCTGGGCCCAAGGTAAGCGCTGGGAAGATCTGATTGAAGCTGCTACGTCCGCTACAGAGGCCGATGATGACCGTTCTTCAGAGGTAGTCCCCCGCCCCTGTATATGAATTGAGACGAATGGTGCTAACAGAACCAGCACGGCCCGTCGCCTACGATCCCTCCGCTTATCGCCAATATCACCTCCGCGCCGTTGGACCAGCCGATCCGCTCCTCGCTCCCTCCCGCCTTCCATCCCCCGCATCGCTCGCTCCCACCGCCGTACACTGCATCGCCCCTACACAAGTCGCTGACCCCGCCACCGCAAATGCACCGCGGTCGCGACTCGGATCTAGAACCCTTCCCATCCATCGAATCATCGCTCGATTCGGCCTCGAGTGCCTCAGGCAAGAACTTCCCGGTCTCTCGTAATCTAGCCCCGTCCGCACTATCAGACTCCAGTCCGGTTTACAACATGTACCCCTCATCCATGCACGCACGACAACACCACCGCTTCTCGAACCCCACGCCCGCGTCGCTCCGGAGCAGAGAAGTCACCATCTACTGCGCTAACTGCCAGCGCCCCTGGGCGCTGGATGACTGCTACGCCTGTACCGAATGCATCTGCGGTGTCTGTCGCGACTGCGTCGGGATGTTCCTCACCAGTCCCGCCAATATGTTCCGGAACATAACCTCGAGTCCTGGTAGCGGCCCTAACGGCAACATGTTTCACGGTCCTGGCCCCGGCCCCGGCTCCGGTCCGACTAGTCATCCTAGTCCCGGTCCGAGAGGGTGTCCGCGATGCCGCACGGTCGGGGGTAAATGGAAGGCATTTCAGCTTGAATTTCGTTGATCTCATTTTCCGGTGATGCGCTATGCTTGACACTTTACACTTTGATATCTTTTTTTTTTTTTTTTTTTTGCACATATGTTACGATACCTGTTTGTTGATATTACGCTTTACGATTCACGCTTGTTTCATGCTTATACTGGTTTACGTTGTTTACTGTTATTTCTAGGGATACGCTTACGAATGTACGACTGGACGTCCAGGAAAGGGTCAAGGTTAGGGCGTCAGTGTGCTTGGTTGTTTGATTTTTGTCTTGGGTTGTTCATTTATACCAGAGAAAACACAAAAAAAGACTGATACACGTTTGTCATGGGCTTGCATGTTCTGTTTATATTCATGTTCATTCACATTCTTATTCCTGTTGTTGATACCGCATGTTTGCATTCCGGCCGGTTCTGTCAATGTCAATATTTAAACAACTTCAATTTAAAATTTCACCATCCATCCCATCCTAATTGAAAACGATCATCCCCAAACAACACTACTCAACCCCTCCGCCTCTCCAACTTCCCCGGTCTCCCCAACAAGAACCCGTCCAACAACCTCACCCAACTCTCCAGTTTCCAGTCTCCGCACAACAACCACGCTCGCACTCGCCTGGTTCCCAATCGCTACCAGATCTCCGGCGTCATTAACAATCAGCGTCCGCGGCACCTTACCATACGATGGGGTGAGACTGTGGAATGCCGCCGTGCCATCGTCGTTGATGAACAACGTCGCGATAGCATCAGATTCAATGTCCGGGTACGACTGGTCGCTGCGGAGCGAGATGTAGATATCACCCTCCCTAATCTGGATCCCAGCCGGCGTCGCGCCAGACGGCAGAGCCCCATTCGGATACGGAATGATCGATTGAATCTTATGGAAAGTCGGATGCCGGTCTGCCGAATAGCTCACGTTGAAAATAGTAAGTTCACCGCTCAACTCGCTAACCGTATACAACCTCGTCTCTCCCCCTTCTCCGTCAGAGGTAAAAAAGCCATGTCTTGGTCCACTTCCCGCCGGGAAGTCCACAGCCTCACCCTCAGCCAACCATCCCGTCGACGCATTCACAGTGTACACATGGATAAGATCCATGCCGAGGTCCGGGGAGATTAGGAACTTTCCGCTCGGGTCGGGGAGGATTTGGTGCGGGTGCGAGGCGTCTTGTTCGGGCTTGGGCGCAGGGCGGTCGGTTAGGTTGTAGGTGAGGGTTTGGAGGGGAGCTGTGTTGGGGGATAACGGAAGGGGGAAGGTTGTTAGGGCAGAGGCACCGCTATCACTAACTGTTAGTATTTGAGGTTTGTAAAGGTGGGGGGATGAGGGGAGGGAGCGTACTAATGCGCAACGGCGAGATACTCAACGCCGCTCTCACCACCGTAAAAAGCACTGTGAACGCCTGCGCCGATGTCCTCCACTTTCGCAATCTCTTCCACTGTTCCTTCCGATGCGGTGGATAGCGCGGTGAGTGAGCCTGGAACCGTCGCGTTCCCGCCCTCGTCAGAGCAGTAGAGAACACCAGATGACCGCTCTAGGGTAAGCCAGCTAGGCATTTCACCGCAGGTATCTTTTTCAGAGGCTATGCTGAGCGCATTATCGGGGTTCTTGTCCTCAAGATCAAGCGAGAGGGTGTAAACAGTGCCGTTGTAGTGCGTTGCGTAGAGGGTTTTTGTAGATGCTGCTGCTGTTGCCAGCAGGGTGAATAGAGGGAGGGTGTGCATTTTGTTTGTATTGTAGAGTAGTGATGTAGAATAGGTTTTGGTAGAGGTGAGAAATGGTAGATTTGGATTTATTCATATAGTGGTGTGAAGGGAATGTGACGAGGGGTTGGCTGGGTGATGCATGTAGGACTCTGGGGGGTTAGGAATGCAAGGGTAGTTTCAGGGCTGGGTAGTATGTTGCATGTGCGGAGTAGCTACTACAGAACGGAGTACAGCAAAATATATATCAAGCAACACTTTCAAACGATAAATATGTACATTTCGAAACGATCAAGGGGCTGCACATGTACAAGATATGGGAGGTTGATGGCAACTGCAACATGCGTAACGAACCAGCAGGAACCCTGAAATAAGAAGATAACCAAGCAATCTAACAAACACTGTGGATTATACGAATTTATGCGTTGTTCCGATAGTTGGAGATCACTGCTTGCAGGATGGTCCAGTTCCAAACTGACTCCTCGAATTGTACCGGAGTGGAAACCGCAGGGAAATTTATCTTTCTACGCAATTCCGTGTTCTCATGCCATGCATTTCAAGGGCAAATTCAACTCTTCTGCGCAATCTGCGCAATTGAAATGTCTGGTATTGTCATCATGAACATGTAAGGATGCCTCCCCTTCGGTGTTGATTCCATTTATGCAATCAGCTGTTATGTTGGGATTTGGATAATCGAGGCAATCTGAACATCGGCAGCAATCCTTTCATCTCGGATTCTGCGTTGAGTATGCGAGCGAAGCTGTGCCATGACGGGAAATACACCGAAATTTTCTCTGGCATATGTACAGGATGGTGAGATATCTCGGCTGTATCAAGAAAGTAGGGCTGGGGTGCTCAGCAACCTTTGGACTAGAAATGGTCAATTGGTACCTGAAGTTCCGTAAGAGGCCGATGCTATAACAGCAACATGTTGACATGCATGAATGTTGAAAAGAAACCAGCCAACCTGGGGCCTCATAAACAGCTCGGGCCAAATGGACGTATGGTCTGATTGGATAGGGTAAGGCAACCGATTGTCTTTAGAACATCCCAGGTCAGAGAGAGGCTGTGCGACTGGAAATATCGGAAAAGGCGAATGGAAATGTATCCCATTTCGCGTAAAACCAGGTCTTCCAGGCATAGCCATGGAAGGGCAACTCATTCAATATCGCTTACGTGCTCTGCGTAACAGAAAGTAAGGCATTGCTGGGGATTCTTGGCTTCTTAATTAATGTCATTCATGTGATTAGCGGCATAGCAGATGGACCTGAAGAAATACAGGGTAAGGAAGCGCGTAGCACAGTAGTTCAACGTGACCATGTCATTTTTAAGCCATTTTTCGCATATGGGGCAAAACTCAGAAATGCTTGGTATCAAGATTGCGTCAAAGTAAACATGGTATTTACCGAATATCTTATGGAGATGTACCGGCATGATAATCAATGATTGCATTGTCGGTGCGCATTTATATTACCGGGGAAGCACCATAGCTAGGAGATGTTGTGGTTATCCCCTTTGGCCAGTCACTCTCGCAGAGATGCGGCCATGTCAAGTATCGCACGCTATTAATCACTTTACTTGCCGGTATCTAATAATACATTTACTGAGCATTGTTTAAGGTTACTTCGGACTAACATGGCTTTTCTAGTGGTGAATGATTGACGCCATTAGTACTGCCCTTGTCCACTTTAGCTCTTCTCTTCCCTCCACGATATATCCATTCTCATAATTTGTTCTTTGATTCCATTTGGACGGTGGGAACTCCATCCTATATAGCATTGACATGGCATATATGAACTAGAGAGATTTAACAGGATGGTTCACAAGTATTCTCCAGCATATCTGTAAGCTATCCTGATATCCTTTTGAGACCACAGTCAGCAACGACAATGAATTCGATCTAGGGACAGCCCGGATCAAATCCATCCCGATGGGAGGTTTCTGCATATTGAAGTTCGAAGAGGAAGGGGAATTTACTCTACAGATGATGTCATTTTTCAATAGCGTCAGCCTCAACCCGATGCCCTACTAAATTACCAACACAAATACCAAGCTCATAATCCGGAATTATGAGAAACACGGGACACTATGTTATCTTGGATATTCACTGTATGGTCTTGCCTTGTAAATGACAGCCACTTACGGCTCTATCGTCTTTTCTTACTCGTTTATACTCTGGATGGGACACATTTGTTTCAACTTTTCCCAAAGAGGACGTTTCCTCCGTCATGTTTTGAGTCTAAGGTAGCTCCTGAAAGCATCCAGTAAAGTGTTACGTTGACAGTTCACCGAGGACTTATTTATCTTCGGCAAGAAAATGAACATCTTCAGCCAACTAGCAGTTAGGGCATTTGGTCACAAACAAGAGATTGTCCCACGTAGTTGGGCCAACTTTCCATCCCTGGTCCAGATCTTGCTTGTTCAGCTGAACATCCAGAGCCTACTTTTACGCCGAAGCTAGCAACGCATCTCAAACCCATACACCTGGCAGAGCAGTTGTTCGGCGTCGCTTTCGCCATAGAACAATCTCGCTGCCCATTATCTATATACTCAACATGCAGCTTGAGATATTAGACTTCCTGCGGTTTTTTATCTTGCCTCAGTCGTCCAGGTCCCGAGAAACAGTGTGGTCTTCGCAGCGTTATCATGCCATTGAACCCAAGTGCAAGACCGCAGATCCCAGCTGAAAAGCAATATATCAAAAGATCCAAACGAAGTGTCACGGCCACGATTCTAGGGTGCATTCTAAAAACATAACCGCTGCGCCAGGAGCAAAAGACTAGGATACTAAGCCTATCGGCTTAGTATTGCACTCACTTATATAGTTCGGTGGTTCATGCCGTTACACGAAGCTGCTTCCACTTCAATTCACTGGCAACAGTAACCATGATGCAGTCAAACTGGATAAGTTTGGATCCATGGTTTAAAACTGCGGTGGGAGAAAGAAGAGAAGAAACGGTTGGTTTTATCGCAGACTTCTATCATCTAAGTTCTATATTATCCTGACCCATAAGTCCATATCTACTCTATAACATACACGACTATATATATATATATATATATACATTCGCCAACATATCCCAAAACACTATCACAACCCAGCAAAAAAAAGAACCACTCCCTCAGCCGCAACCCTCGAATCATCATCATCCCCTCCCTCCCCTTCTTTCTTAATAGCAGCATCAATACTCTCCACAAACCCCTCAATATCATCCTCTCTCCACCCAAACCTCTTCCCAAACTCGATACACGTCTCCCGGTTCACGAAACTGTCGAATTCAAAATGTCCCTGAAAGGTCAATACTCGTCCAGGGTGGTAGAGGCCTTGGACGGGGCATTTTGCTGTAAAGCCTAGGTTGAGCCATGGGGTTGGGAGGATTATTCGGTCTGGTTTGGGGTCCGAATTGGTAGTGTTGTTAGGGATCGGAACGGGGACGACGCGATCTCCGTGGACGAGTTGTAATCTGAGTTCCTGGTTCTGTAGGTTTTTGGCAATATATGGGAAAGCCTCGTTGAACGCGCTATTCAGCGTAATCGGCACGATACCCACTTCATACCCGTACGGACACTGCTCGACATGGAATCCGGCACCATCATTCTCCGGCAAAGAAGGAGAGAGTAAAGCCTGCGCAATAATCTGATGACCAAAACAGGACCCAAAGATCTTGACCCCAGGGAACTCCACAAAAACCATTCGTATAAACCGCTCTAATTCCATGATCCAAGGCTTCGTGTGCTTATCGCATGCGGAGTTCGAAGAGCCCGTTATCAAGATTCCGTCGATGACATCTTCGCTTTCATTTTTGGCTCCGTTTTCTTGGGCAAGAGGGAGTTTGCGCAGTCGATTCGACGGGGGAAGGACGCCGCCGACGACGTCGTAGGAGGATGTGTTTATTTCTGGGACTGCGTGTGTGGTTTTGATTGTGGTGGTGAGACGGGAGGCGGCGGCTTGGAGGAGGTGACGGAATTGGGTGCTGTAGAGGCCGCGGGAGGCGTAGACTTTGGGGACGGGGATGTCGGCGTCGAGGATTGCAATATGCATGTTCACTTTTACCACCCTGTATCTAAGATGAGTAGGGAAGTTGGATTGAAGACGGGAGAAAAATTGACAATTGAGTCATCAGGCTTGTGGGGTAGTAATTCTCATAACATAACCCGATTCGGAAATTGGATCCTATCCCCGGAAGTGCATACTTTACATAGTACATCCATTCACTAGCAATACAATACAGTCGTCTATCATTCATAAAACATATTTTCAGCAAAAAGAAGCAGATCACTCCGCATCCAACGGCGCAACAGGCGCCTGATCATCCACCTGAATCCCACCTCTCTTCTTCTCATTACTATCCCAGAACGGCAACTTCCAGCCGCCTTCTTCCTCGGGCGTCGCGAGCCACAGACGCATAAGGTGGCGTCTGGGGGCCGGTGGGGGGTAGTCCTTGTATTCTGTACGCGAGTGCAGGACGTGCGAGTTGGTGACGAACTGGATGTCGCCGACGTCGAGGACCATGTGGAGGGCGAAGCGTTGGCAAGTCTTTTCGAGGACTTCGATGGCTTCGAGTTGCTCGGGGGAGAGAGGGGGGATGATTCCTGCGTCGGAGAAGCGGGAGAGAGACCGGACGTAGTAGGGGTCCCATCTGCATTGTTATTAGCATGTGCATGATATAGAAGATGAAGAGGGGCGTACTTGGTGTAAACACGGGCATTCTCCCCGCGCTCGAGGTAAATAACCGAAGTCCGAATATACTCCTCCTGACCCGCACTCGTCTCTCCCTTCCGATCAAAATACCAAATCGGCGCCGTCAGCGTCTGCAACACATCCGGCCTCTCCTTTGCAAGCGCATTGTACACAGTATGCGAAGACGCAATATCCGACTCGCCACCCTCAAGTGCCTTGGCAATGCACAGCAGGCCCACGATATCCGAGTCATCGGCATGGAAGTACTGACGCGCATTGGTACGGTAGATCCGAACCTTGTCAATCTGCGTCGAGTCCTCGCCCAGGTCCTTCACGTGGCCAAGCACGTGGCCACGGCTGTTCTGAGAGACGAAGTAGCCCAGGTAGGTGCCGAGACCCATGTAGGCGACGGCGGACTTGTGGTTGCCCCATTTCTCGACGGGGAAGCCTTTGAAGAGGATGAAGCCTTTGCCGTTGAGGAGGTCCTCGCGGAGGGTTTCGAGGTCTTTGGAGAGGTTGGGGAGGGGAAAGTTTTTCTATGTCTGTTAGTCCTTTTCTCATGCATATAGCCTAAGGTGTCCTACCTTGGAAATACCAGTCAAAGGAATCTTAGCGTTGAGGAAGTTATCCGCCGCTGTGCTGAGCTCCTCGATCTCCTCTGCATTAAAGGCATGCGTCCACTTCTCGGGCTGTCCACGGTACTCCTCAGGTTTCCACGCAGTCCGTCCCGTAATCTCCTTAGGGAATTGCTCGAATTCCCGAATATGATCATACAGCGGGGCATGCTGGCCAGTAGTCTTCAACCCATCGGGGAAGATATCCCGCGACGCATTGCTGTTCAGCTGGTGCGGCGCCGCGGGGAGCGACTCTGTTAAAGCGGGAGCCATTGCGGATGTGTAGAGTGTAGCGGGATAGTGAAAACTAGTGTGCAGAATGTGGTGCAAAGTGAGGGGGAGGGGCATCCCTGTATATTTATACTCTGTAACCGACGGCCGAGACGCAGCTTAGCGATGTGCCAAAATGTGGAGCACATGGCGTGCCAGAGATCTTCGCAAATACACCGGGGAGCATTAGCATCGTTATTCAATCAGAAACGTTGTGGTGGTGTATTTTGGAGGTTTCCGCACGGCCGGGGAGGCTGTCGGTTGGGTTGGGATGGCGCAATCATACCTGGCGGATGTTGTGATTCTGCGGTGCCACGCCCAATTATACGGCATTACGAGTAGATACTCCAGAGTAGATGAGATGATTTAGTATGATACTCGAAAGAGATAATAGATAGTAGAGTGAGCAGAGTGATGCTAATTATTCTTGTGCGATGTCGGGCATCACTCATTGTATTCTGTATGTGGTGGTAGGTAGGGCTGTATAGAATCATGTAGACCGGATACAACTCGGGCGAGACGGACACAGTTGACATTACACGCTCGCTCGCATCCATTATGTTAGGTAATTGTATTCATATGCTTCGATAATCCTCTATGCCATGCAATACTTCATTAATCATAACCGTATCCGTACAACCGCTACTGCACAATCTTGTACTTCCCCCCACTAACCTCCAACTTCCCCTTCGACACCATCCCCGCCAGGAACTCCCTCAACTCCTCGTTACTAAACGGAAATCCGCCCGGCACCACCATCTTCAGCATCATGACTATCTGTTGCAATGGCATTGCCCCTTGGTTCGTAAGCATGCCCACGATAAACTGCCAGTACAGGTTCATCTTCTCCATCGCCGCTGCTTCGGCAGATTCCTTGGCGGCGGCTGCGGCTGCGGCGTCGGCTGCGGCGGCTGCTGAGGTGTCATCGTTGGTGTCGGTGGTGTTGGGTTCTGTGTCGGTGCCGGGTTCGTTTTCGCCGGATGGAAGGGTTTCGAGAACGCGGTAGGTTTCGCGTTGGGGTTCGGTGAGAATGCGTTTGCTGATCCAGAAGAGGCATGCGCTACGGACGAGGGGCGTTGACATTTGTAGTTCCTGCGTTAGTTGTTCCAGGGTTTTGGTTATGGGCGGCTGCGTGTCATTCGGCGATGTGGATTGGAAGGCGTAGATCACCGCCGCTTGCCACGTGGTTACCTCGTCCACGAACACGCGATCATCAAGATCCAGCTCGACGGTCACTTGTCCCAGATTGTTGAGCCAGGTGAGCTTGCGCGATGGCTTGAGAGATTCGAAGCCCGTGGAATAGCGCTGTTGTAATGTGGTGATTTCTTCTGGAACCTTGAACATTTGTTCTTGGATGTCTGGCCAGAAGAAATGGGAGAGAATCTTAGCGTGTAGGTCTGGTATTTCCTCTGCAGGTTCGTCTGGAGTAGGCTGGGCCAGTCCCTGGTCATTCCGGATAACCCCGTTGACACGTCGAGAATCAAAGATATCTCGCATCATTACCTCGCACGCTTGCAAGGCATTATCACCAAAGCGAAGCTTAAGCAGTTCCAGAACCGACATCTCCTGCACATAATCGGCCCGCTTCTGAAGAAGTCGCTCTGCCAACATATTCTGCATTTCCTTGACGAACGTTTCCTTCGAGTCGAACAGACTGATAAGACTCCCAATGACATCCGCAGTCTTCGACTTCCGGAAGTCAGGTGCAGCGTCTACTGGATCAGGCATCCAGTTCATGTCATTCCAGTCCAGCTCACCTCCGTCGTTCTGTAACGAGTTTTGATGCGCTTTGGTTAGTTCGGCTGATAGCTCCACCAGTGTTTCCCCGGTCGATTGTGCCGGTTGGCCATCAGCATCTGGGTCTGCAAGAAGACCGCCCACGATGACCTTGACGGTGTCATCGCGGTCGCGGAGATATCGCCGGATCGGCCGAGCAACTCGATCGAGCAACACACCCTTGGGGTCTAGAAGATTTAATGCTCGGATGATAGAAATGTACAGCTGTAGAATCTCCACGGTTGAGGCACCGGGGTGCAATAGTCGGTCGCAGAGTACTGAAGCAAAGGATAGGGTGAAGTATAACCGCGTAGCGGGATTAGTCGTGAAACGCCGTAAATCATCAATGGCACCGCTGCTAGCAGGCCATTCAACCATCACATCGAAAAGCTCGCGCATTCGAAGTGTTCCCACGCAGGTAAACCCGGTCTCATACCACTTCTCGACGTCGCTCAAATTCACATCGAGATGGTCTGACAACTTCGACCCGGATTCGGGGACGTTGATAATAGCGAGCACTTGAACGACAAGCCGAGCAAAGACGTTCTCAACCCAGTGTCGCAAATGCTGTGATACCAAACTCGGTCCTTCCCATTGACCGGGGTACGCAGCTAAAACAAACTCAATCATCATTGAATTCATAACGCCCGCAAACACCTTCTGTGCTTTATCTCCGCCCAGTCCAACAAGTTGCAAACCATTAAGAAGCGACAGCAGTCGGTCACGTGCCGCGATAACCTCTGCATCTTCGTTCTCGGTCATCATTTCCGTCCGAGCGTCGACTGACGGTTCCTCGCGCCAGCGCCGATATGAAACCGAGAACTCTCGGTCAACCTCCATATCCTCGTCTACGCTGAAATCGTCATGGACTGCTTCTTCCTTCAACGAGTTGATTCCCAGTATTGTCAAAGCTTCTTTCGTAAATTCTCGATTTAGTAGGGCGGAAACGTGGTCCCACGGAAGGGCAGACGAATATGCCACCATGTGATGAAAGGTCCGGTGTAGCTTGAGAAACGTTCGTTCTTGTTCCGAGGCGTCTAATAGGGGCAAGATGTATTCCGCAAGGCGAGTAAAGTATATCCGACGCGCCAATTCCAGACAACGGACGACTCTCTGTAGCAAGCCTTCCTTCTCAGGATGGCACAGCAACTGCATCATTAGCATCCACTCACGATTCCACGAATCTAGGTCCAATCGGAACCCACATCAAAAAGCCCATTCCGGAAATTTTTCAGAAAATGTCTCCGTATCTCCTGCCCATACCAATCAATTATACTCCCCCGCTGCTCTTGCGTAACCAGAAACCCCATTGCATCCGCAGTCTTCCTCGATGGTCTCTCATACCGATTCCACCGCTTCAAAAACACCTCTTCATCAATATCCTCAAATGGCCCCAACGCCGCAAATCCTCGATCTGGCACCGCCAGAAACGCAGTAGCGGCATCCCACGCCCGGTCCCATGTCTCCTGGTCCGGTACTAGTTCGTCCGGCTCTGTAAGCTGGCTGTCATCGAAGGATCGCGACGTCACAAGGGGATCGATTGATTTCAAGGGTGGGTTGTCTGTGGCTGAGAAGGGCGCCGGGGCCGGTGACGCGGAGAAGACGGAGTTGAAGACGCGCTTGCGGCTGGTGGTGATGGTGGAGGTGGGAGGCATCGTGGGCGGTTTAATGGGGATGCATTGCGTCCAGCCGGCGATAGGGTCGACAGTTATCTTCTTCATTGACGGACCATCTTTTCAGGTCTTTTTGGCTGGTCGTCGTGATCGTGGTCGTCGTCGTTCTTGTTCTTGATTGTTTTGACCGAGCGATAGGCTTATCGCTGCCAAGATATGTCACGTGAATTCATCGAGTAGTAGTTGTACGGGGGTATTACTTGACTAGAAGACATGGCAGTGGAAATTAAGAACAGAGCAGTGAATGGGGCTGGAGTTCTACAATGATTCTAAGGGTGGTGGTAGATTACATCACCCACTGTCCGTACTGCTACTGTAGACTCCGCGGATATACATTGCCAGGAACAGAAAGACACAAGACCAAGGTTGTTTTGCTTATGTAGTATGCCTATCACTATGACAAGCAGTCTCTATTGGGTATCGCAATACGAATATGAACACGATATGCATGCAGCATCACATTGCATACTCCGAAACAGGTACATCCGTAGTAGCCACATGCAGCAAATCAGGCCTCTGCTCCGTACTCCTAGACAACAATTTAAGAATGACCGGGTAAATCTCCTCCAAAATGGATCGGACACTAGATCCCTACTCAGTCTGATCATCCACCTTCTCCCACTCACTATCTGTGCTTCCATATCCCGAGCTGTCCCCGCTCACACTGTGACGCTTTCGGGCTCCCTGCTCCTCCGGCAGCTGAAGACTAGCCGATGTGGCAGCTGTAGGCAAAGGTGTTTCCTGCCGTTGTTCCTCAGTCTCCGTGTCGCTGTCGGTATCAAGTGCCCCCGGTGTCCTCATAGCATCTCCCGACCTCGGTTTACCGTCCGCATGAGCCTTCTTTCCTTCCTTTTCCTTCCGAGCCTCCTGGGCCTGCATCGCCCTCAGTTCCGCCGCAAACCAATTGATCGACCACCATAGCGCGCCGGAAAGGAAGGAGAGAACGAAGAAGTGAATGCTGTAAGTTGCCAAGAGGAGCGCAAAGAGGAGGAGCTGCAGAGCAGCGAAGGTGACGTTGGTTGCGATGAGCAAGGTCGGAGTGGGACCGGGGGTGAATATACTGGACCAAAGGTCTTCAATGAAGAAACCCATGATGGATTGCTTTTTTCTGCCTCGTACGGGATATCTCCGGAGAATAACAGGATCGCTATCGGGCCGCCTGGGGTAAGGCAGGGGGGTAATGACGTTTGGTGGGCACACGGAAATCAATATCCGCAGAGAACGGCAACTGACAAAGTTCGGAGTCAGTTTCGGTGATGCAAAAGGCAGTAAAAACCACGGGAAGGGAAAAGCAACTGTGCTAATCAGATAGGGGCAACGCACTCACAGCCAGTAAGAATCTTAGCGATAAACAATCCTTTCCTATTATCGGCGGTTGGCCGACGCGATGAGTAGGAGAAGAGGAGAAAAACAGCGGAAGAAAGCAGGTGGAGAAGAAGCGGTAACTGGACCACTTTTTGACCCCAGGATTTTCGCAACGAACCGACTCGGAAGGTTAAATGGATTCTACCCCGTGGGGAGAGTATACTCTGAGTCTAGTGTGGTGATATGGTAGTGGTAGTGGTGATGTTGAGGAGAGATAGTGGTGATGGTGATGGTAGTAGTGATAGTGGTAAAGGAATGCACGTCATCTGACTATGGAGGGGCTCTTCTACTAGAGTCACGCTCAAACACCAGTCGACACACTGTGCTTTATTCGATTAGGCATGTTGCCTCTATCAGCCCAATGGCAGGTGACAGAAACATGCTTGGGCAGAAAGGCAGCTGCCACCACCAGCACCACTACCAGCATACCAGCAACATCACCACTTGACGGCTATCAAACGGAAACCATCGGATTCCATTTTGCTGTGATGATTGAGAGTCTGGGAGAAGACACGGCCATCCTCCGATCAACTTTGTCTATCATTAGTCCCTCATATCTTGACATGCCGTTTCATACCTCGGAAAGATCAGGACTCTTTATGGGTACATGCAGTGCTATTGATTAGCATTTAGTACGCCATACTTCGTAGAGCCACTGTTGTCTGGGTCTGTAGTAACCCCTCTCAGACCCATATGCAGTCCCGGGTTGGTCAGCATCAGCAGGGGCCGGATGTCCTCATCGTGCTTGTTTATGATGTTGTCACGCGGTTGTTTTTCTAATCTTGTAGTACGACGAGTAGCACGTGCATGTCACGGGAAGCCTTCTACTCTCGCAGCTACGATGACACTGTACGGACTACTATCCGGAGCATATACCATTTTCATCAGACTCTAGTACTACAGTAGCTGCATCTCCTAGCCAATAGGAAGAAAGGTTTCAAATCGTCAATCCGTTTTAATTCTCGTATCTATTCCGGACACCCTAACTGGTTTCTTCTAGTGGATTCGGTCCATTCCCCCGCGCCGATTCCCCAGCTTGGCTCTATCCACGGCTTGGTCCGGGCAGTAACTAACTTCTACCATGTCTATATTCTTGCAACAGGCATCCAATTGCTGTCCCCGGCCTAGGAATGCCTCCTCTTTTCCTTTATCCCCATTCGACATGTCCGCTGCAGATCGCCTCTGCCCGGCAGAAGACTTATTCGCTCTTTGCCCGGTTCTTTCTACGAGCAAGCATATCTTTGCTCCATGCTTGGTATCCGGCAAACCAGATACGCGGGTGTGTTTTTCTCGGGCCCCCGGGTTGCATCTGGGATCCGTGAATGAGACCTGGGAAAACGGGGAAACCGAGAACTATAAGTATAGTTGTTTCCCGGCTTCTTTCCTCTGCTTATGTTCTGGCAGAGTCTTTGATTGGAGCTAGCCTTGGTTGTAATTTCATTGCTAACTCTTGGCTTTCTTCATCTTTCCCTTCCTCACCTTTCCCTTCTTCCTTTTTACCTTCCTTTCACCTCATTGTCTTACCCACGTGAGGATGGATGAAAAGCAACTGGAGGCCAAAGATATTGACAAGGAATCCCTGCACGGTTTCGCCCACCATGCCGAGAATGCAGCAGCCGACAGGGAGCCATACGGTCCACCAGGCCTGCGCGGCCTGGTAGCCAACCCATTCGTGTTCCTCTGCGCAGCATGTTCAACACTAGGTGGTCTCGTGTTTGGTTACGACCAGGGTGTGGTGTCTGTTATTCTAGTAATGGATCAATTTCAAGAACAATTTCCGCAGGTAGCCCCTGGGGCCCCTGGAGGTGGATTCTGGAAAGGTCTGATGACGGCGATGATCGAGTTGGGTGCTTTGGTCGGTGCACTGAACCAGGGTTGGATTGCAGACAAGATTTCTCGACGGTATTCGATTGTGGTTGCTGTTGTTGTGTTTACCATTGGGTCGGTTCTGCAGACTGCTGCGATGAATTATGCAATGTTGACTGTTGCGCGAACGATTGGTGGTATTGGGATTGGCATGCTTTCCATGGTTGCTCCGCTTTACATTTCTGAGATCAGTACGTTTGCTCGTCACTTAAATGAAACCTGTCCTTTAACTGTTGTGATCTTAGGTCCTCCCGAATGCCGCGGTACGCTGCTAGTGATGGAAGAATTTTGCATCGTATTGGGAATCGTTATCGCATACTGGATCACGTACGGCACACGATTTATGGCAGGCGAATGGTCCTGGAGACTTCCTTTCCTCCTGCAAATGGTCCCTGGTTTTATCCTGGTCGCCGGTGTGGCTCTGTTGCCGTTCTCTCCCAGATGGCTTGCTTCCAAGGAACGAAACGACGAAACGCTGCAAAGCCTTGCGAAGCTGCGACGACTACCGCCGTCGGATAAGCGCGTGCGACAGGAATTCTTGGATATCCAGGCGGAAGTTCGTTTCCACAAGGAAATGAGTGCGGAGAAACATCCCGACCTTCAGGGCGGTGGGCTCAGAAAAGAATTCTTCTTGGAAATGGCGTCTTGGGCGGATTGCTTTGGCAAGGGGTGCTGGCGCAGAACGCATATCGGTATTGGAATCATGTTCTTTCAGCAGGTGGGCAGTGACCCGTATCACGTATCATCTTGTCAGACGGACACTAACATGCTATAGTTCATCGGTGTCAACGCTCTAATCTACTACTCACCAACGTTATTCGAAACCATGGGCCTTGACACAGACATGCAGCTCCTCATGTCCGGCATCCTCAACGTCACGCAACTCGTGGGTGTAACCACCTCAATCTGGAGCATGGATAGTCTCGGTCGTCGATGGCTACTCCTAAGCGGCGCCGCGGTCATGACAGCGTGCCATGTTATCATCGCAGTCCTGGTTGGAATGTACTCTGACAACTGGCCCGTCCACAAAGCCGAGGGCTGGGCCAGTGTGGCTTTGCTGCTTCTGTACATGCTCGCGTTTGGGGCTTCTTGGGGGCCAGTACCGTGGGCGATGCCATCTGGTATGCACATGAGTCAAAACCGAAAATAGAAACCGTCCACTAACGCAGTACAGAGATCTTCCCGTCGTCGCTCCGTGCCAAGGGTGTATCCCTCTCGACTGTGTCGAACTGGCTCAACAACTTCATCATCGTGAGTCAGATATATTGAAAAAGCATGTTAGAATTCAGAGCAATGCTGATACCGACACAGGGTCTCATTACCCCCCCACTAGTCCAAAACACCGGCTTTGGCGCATACACCTTCTTCGCCGTATTCTGCCTCCTCGCTTTTGTCTGGACATTCTTCTTCGTCCCCGAAACCAAGGGTCGATCGCTGGAACAAATGGATCACGTCTTCAAAGATAATTCGAGCGCCGCAGAACAAGACCGCCGCCGGGCCATCGAAACCGAATTGCTCCGAGCGGAGGCCCATTGCCCGGAGCCATAGGGCAATGGCAATCTCGCGAACATCAATCGAGGTCCATGCGATCGCTGGGAAACATGGAACCTTGTCTAAGAACTATCTCGGGGAAGAATCCGGTGCGGAGTACTCCGTATCCACTAATTGTACCGGTGGAATTTCGGTGCACCGCACCGCCTTTGTATTTCATTTTCATCTTCTCTTGTGTATATACTTTATGATTATTGTGCCATGAAAAATATAACGAACCGAATACGAAAAATAAGAAAGGAAAATGACGAATGACAAATCAGACCTCAATAAAACACGCCGAATAATTCCGACCTGGCCCAAAGGGCTGATCGCTTAGTCTTCCCTTTATTGCTACCATCGAATAGAAAGTTTTCCTGAACCAACAATTATGCATAGCATGCACGTAGACGCCCAGACGCAGCGCAGCGGATATGGATAGGCGTACCTGTGCGCTCAGCTCGGTTATGTATAGGGCGCGGTAGGTAGGTACTTTTATGATACGGGGTGCTTGTACATACATAATACGTAGTGTTGTATGCGCACTTACGAATCCCGCCTGCATTGATTTTCACCGGTGCTAACCTAGCGTGCCTGCCTCCCCCCAGATCACAATCACAGTTCACAGACCGACTGTCAAGCCAGGTCGACAGGATCGATAAAGTACGGAAAAGGACTCCGTGGGCCGGGCCTAGATGATCCTCATCCTCCATGGCACATTGTACGGGTACGGATGTACATACACTTTCGTAACTCGTATAATTTTACTTTTACTCGGTAATTATTATTAAAACTGATTGATTATTGTTGTTATCGTGTCGCTAATTATGGATAAGCGTTGCCCCCGAGTCCGTGCCCGAGTCTGAGCACATGACACGACACGATGCATGGTTAATGTAATTAATCGAGGGGAGGGGGCCAAACGTGCCGGCCGTAAGCAATAAGCAGTGAGAAACTGGGTTTTGTTTGTTTCAGTTTTACTGTCTGTTATACGTGATTTCGAATGCGCCTCGTCTATTCTTGCTACATCATAGCATATTGTGACTCCATCACTATAATGAAATGGAGATATCTGCCTCCGGCCCATCCAGGGCTCCAACCAAAGTGTATCTCTGGGGCTGAATTGGCCTTGGAATACACTATACTAGATACGTACTAGTGTTCTCGCGGAATGTTCCCGACAGTCCCAGAGCAGAGCCTCCAGAACACACAGACACTAATCCACCCAGACAATAGAGAGCGACAGGAGAACTGAACCAAGAAACAGGAAAAAAAAGGAACAAGAACGCACTATGCAGTGACAGATGGACCGTGAGCCAGTTGGTGACAGACCGGTTATCCCCATCAAGCTGTAGCTCTCGAGTTCATTTTAAGGGGATAATCATTGCAGGAAGCAATTTCCGTGACATCGTCGATTCGTCAAAGAATCTCGGTTGGCGCTGCGCTCTTGTATCCAAACTATTGACTATCGTCCCTGTTATCTCGGCTAGTGTGGTCTGTGGTCTGTGGTCCTCTGGGTCTGGTTATTTGGCCTCAGGACAACCCCGTGAGGCTGATTTTCATTCCTCGGTACAGTGTATGTATTGTCCCTTTTTCGTGCTCGCTCCACTGCCTTCTCCGGAGCTTCGGTGTCGGTGCTTCGCACTGATGGGCACTGATCACAATGGGGAAATCGAAACTGGGGGAAGAGCAAGAGGGGAAAGGCAAATGAAGCACTGCACCGCCTGGATCTTACCAGAACCTCCGAGATGACATGTCGCAGTGACAAAGGGGGAACCGAGGGAAAGAAAAAAGGACCCCAAATGAGGCACAACATACAAGGTAATAAAAAAAGAAATGACAAAAGTGTTTCATATGCTTTTTTCGGAAAATGTAGAAGATTGCTAAAAATGCCAAATGCCAACAGTTAAGCCCAGCCGTTTGCTATGGTTTGCTTGCTTTTCTTTTTGTTGTTTCCCTGCGTAATCACACGGCCGGACCCGACAACAGCCAGTGACGAGCGACGGGACCACTACTCTGTATACGATACGAATGTTGGGTGCAAGACCACCTCTTATCCCGTACTAGAGCCGTGGCAGTGATTGTGAACAGCCCGGTTCCAACCCAACCCACTATTATTATTTTATATGTACTCCGGCCCATCAAGTCAGTTTTGAAATGCGAGTTATTGTACAATAAATACGACAGAGTCCCGGTGTCTTTTCGAACCCAAAAGGCCCCAAAAACCGACGGACGGCACATGTCATTACACTAGGGCTGCAGCCAATATCGAGGCAGCAGTAATTCGTACATTGGACGAATCCACCGTACTTGTACATTTAGTACTTGAGGCTCTTTTTTTTTTTTTTTTTTTTTTTTTTTTTTTTTTTTTTTTTTTTTTTTTGCCCCAAAACATTTCTACATTTTACTAGCTTGATGCATACTACGACTATCTTTCGGATTTGCATCCCTCTTCCCCGACTTGCCTCGTGTTTCTTGTACAACTGCATTTGCCTCCTAAATTGTTATATACACTACCACCTGCCACCACCGCCAGATGTCTTACAGAAACATACCTTCTTCTCAGCCACATCGCCGGCCTCGCTCGTCCCAAGGTCCACCTTCGTATACTACCACACCCGCAGTTGAGTCACCGCTGCACCTCAACCCGAGCCCGGGTCTATTGCAGAACCACCTCTCCATCCCCGCTCGGGACCCTTCGGGCTTCGCAGATCCAAATACTACTACTGGCCCTGTCCCCAGCATAGCGGGCGATTTTGGGAACCTCGACACAGTTCCGAGGGGTGGTGTTCGTGGCGCGCGCAGCTTCTCATCTCCGTCGCCGGCAATTGGTTTGAATACGGGACCGACTGGGTCGCCATTTTTATCGCCGAGAGCTTATCCTGGGGGACAGTCTCCGCAGAGTCGTGGACAATTGGCGGCGTCAGATTCCAGATATAGCACAGCGAGATCTGTCGCGGTCGGGTCGGAGTACTTGTCGGGGAATATGGCGCACGAGGCACATAGTATGTTTTCCAGCGGTGCTGAGCTACTGTACTTACTGACGGAATAGACTGGGGCTGGCAAGGACGGCCGTCACATCCGCATCTTCAACAGGGACCTATGGGTTTTGATCAACCGTATTCACCGCAGCAGTCGGTGCCACCGGGGGGTTTTCCTATTGATTATGATGCGAGGCATGGTACTCCACGGAGTTATTATCAGTCGTCGTCGTATCTTTCGGTCCCTAGTCATGGGCTTCCTCAAGGTGCTCATCATCCGAGGAGGTATCTTGATCGCCTTTGCTCGTTATAGTATGAAGCGAGAACTGACGAGAGTAGTGTTTCAATGTCGTACGCATACCCCAGTAGTTCGGTAACTGGGACCCTTCCATCCATGTCAGATCAATCCTTCCTGCCCTCGTGCGTTGTACTACTTTCGATGAGAAGGGTATCCTGGCTAACTGCTGCAGATCACCCCCGTACTTTGTCCAACAACCCGAATACTACCTCCCAGAATCCTCACTTCCGTGAGTCAGATCTAAAGTCCAACTCAGCGATCAAAACACTAACAAACAATCTCTAGATCCCACGCCCCCTCGATATCAACCAGTCCACAACCCCAGCACCCACACCCAGGCCCGGGCCCAAATCCATACTACACCTCTCCCTCACCCGCCCCAACAGGATCCGCATCAGCATCCTCATCAACCGACCAAGATCGCCAGGTGCGAGTCATAAGTTTCCGGCCCAAGCCCCAGTGCTGGGAACATGGCTGCAACGGCCGCGAATTCTCAACATTCAGCAACCTGCTTCGCCATCAGCGGGAGAAGTCGGGGGTTGTGGCCAAGGCTGAATGCCCGGTGTGTGGCGCAGCGTTTACCCGCACGACGGCAAGGAATATTCACCTTGCGCAGGGGAAGTGTAAGGGGAGGGAGTAGATCTACTGAGTACTACTGAGTGAGGGGATGTTTATGATTTGGGGATATAATGAGGATTGAGATAGGGTCTGGGATCTATTTGGGTTGGCTTCAACTGGTTCAACACGTGCATCATGGTGTTTTGGCGCTCTATAACATGGGGATAATCTTTGCATTGTTTATATTGCATTCTGTACAGAGTCTAGAGCTTGAATGATACCATTGTCTAGAGACGTTTATGGCAGGTGTATACGGTCGACACCTTAGGTAACAAAGACAATCAGGCCAACATGGCCCCACGTGCATACTGATAAGGATTGGTCGGATAAATGGTTGGCCCGAGTAGCGAAGCCAGGAGATTCTCATAGTCGACGTGTGCACACATATTGTAGATTAAGCACTCAATCAGCTGTGTACGCGCATGTATGTTCGTTAGGCAATATACATCTTTTGTCAAGCTAGTCCTCTCCATATAGACCTCGTCAGTCCGGAATAATCGACTCCCGATTTCCCTTTTGAGCTACGATCCGAGAGACCCCGCTTCACATACATTACATACTATCACATGATGTCACCTGACCCTCGCATCCCAAACGAGTTTAGCGCATGACCCTTCGGAGATCAACCAGTGCCATGTTTATTCCTCTTCCACTGACTCACTCGGACATTGTCAACTGTTTGCTTGCTCTTCTTCAAAATGCAGCTTGCTTGGTAATTTAGTAGTGCGTTATTCTCTTGCACTCGCTGTTCTTTCTTGCAGGTGTGACTTGCATGCCAATTTCACCGGCATCTTCTCTTGCGAACGAGTCCCCCAAAATGAATCCATCGTTACTTGACTCTGGGGGATTTGCAATAACATTATTCTCTCGCATATCGCGGCGTGGCTGATTTCGTGATATCATCGTACATTGCTTTCAGATTACTGGAAATGGCATCCATATTCACCTTTGATCCCGATCCTCCGCGGGTGTCTTCGCCGTGGTCGATATCGGAGTCCTCTACGCCTCAGTCTACTCTTGCCGGTAATCGACTGGCCATTAGAACTTGTTCAAGCGCGACGCTGCGCAGTGCAGATCATGACTCTTTGTCTGACTATGGGATTTCGAAGCTGGACCCGGAGCCACAGGAGGGTCCGACCGAATATAAGCTGCATCTTTTACTGCGTCCTCGTCGGTTGTACACGTATATGTCTACGGGACATGTTGTGGCAGGCTCGTACCATTCTCGAGCGAGCGTGTCAACTTCGTTCCCCACCACACCGTCTAGTTACGAGACCGCCATGAAACCACAGCAAACCCGGTCAACGCACAGTCGGCAAGAGCGGCTGCAGCATCTGACAACGCAGCTGCTGTGGCGGTTACAGCAGTCATCGCCCTTTCATTCGTCTACCGCGACTAATAATCTCGTGCTGCCTCTTCTGCCTGACATGGCATCGCAGTCGGATGCTCCGCAGAGGCCGGCTAGATTGCTCCCAGGGCTTGAGGAGAGCCAGGGTGCGCTGTATGAGATTGGCGTTGCGGATGATGGGACGTTTGTTGGACTTACTCAGGATGAGCTGGAGGAGAGTTTGGGCAATTTGCAGATCATGGCGGGTAGTTTGGGCTGTAAGATGGATGTTTTGCGAAGGGTCGTTGTTGGTGAATGTGAGTGGGAAGGCGACTCAGTCGAATCTCACATAGAGGGTCTTTGGGTTGCCGAGGCACTCGTTAGTCCTGATCTGGACTATTATCGTGCGGCGCCAAAAGAGGGTGATGCGTCTGGGGTTGAGAAAAAGCCTGTTTCGGAAGACGATCATTCTAGCACCGGGCAGATCCGCGTATCCATCACTGGTCCCAGTATCGCAGGCAAATCCTCCCTGCTGGGTACGCTGACGTCTTCCTCGCTGGATAATGGACGAGGGAAAAGCAGGCTGAGTCTGCTCAAGCATCGACACGAGATTTCTTCCGGAATCACAAGTTCCGTTGCTCAGGAGTTGATTGGATACTCGGGCGATTCCTCTGACACGGTTGATGTGATCAACTATGCGTCTGGCAACGTTGCTGCATGGGATGACATCCATGCTATGTCGGTGGGTAGTCGTCTAGCCTTTGTTTCTGATCTTCCCGGCTCGGTGCGTTTTTCGAAATCTATGCTCAGAGGACTGATCAGCTGGGCTCCTCACTACGTGATACTCTGTATTCCCGCCAATTGCGACGATGGAACTGCGTCAGGTAGCGACAGCAAGCCCGCAGAACAGACCACGGAAATCGACCTGGCTCTATCGTACTTGGAACTCTGCATTAAACTCGAAGTACCTATTTTGATTGCAATAACTAAGATGGACCTCGCTTCTCGCGCGGGACTGAGAAATACGCTCGCCAAGGTTCTGTCGGTGTTGAAGCTCAGCGGCAAGAAACCTGCCATGCTACCTGTGTCAGGTTCAGCTGACAAGGTTGCGGGTTTGCAGCGAATCGGCACAGTGGAAGGTGGGGAAGTGAAGAAGGTGATTGATGCCATGGCTGGTGATACGCTATTGACAGTACCTATCGCCCTCACAAGTGCTGTCGATGGCTCTGGGATAGAGAAGTTACATGCATTTCTACGATATCTTCCAGTCCCAGCGAAGCCTTCACTACGGACTATCGATTTGTCCAAGGCGCAATCGCAACCACCCACTGGTAATGTATTCGATATTGACGAGATTTTTGCTATACCACCGTCGAAGGTTTACTCGATATCGTCGGACCAGACGTCAAAGCAAAACCAGGGCGTTGTCTTATGCGGTCTCGTCCGCTACGGTGCTGTTTCGATAGGAGATACACTAGTTGTCGGGCCGTTATTGGCGAACCCGCACTGGCAACATGTCCGCGTTGTCAGTGTCAGAAACTTAAGGCTACCCGTTCGCAAACTCACAGAGGACCAAGTCGGAACTATTGGTATTGAACCTATTTCACAATCAGACGAGCCACCACCGCACCTCAGCAGGATCCGTAAAGGGACAGTTTTGGCTAGTCTACCGGATCCTGTGCCACTTCACACTGGTTTTGTTGCTACATTCTCTTCCAGCGAATTTGCATCAGCAGAATCTCCGCCTTTGCTTCTTGGCGGAAACGCCATCGTCTACATCGCCAATATCCGAACAGCAGTGAAGGTGACCTGCGTGGAACTAGCTGAAAATGAAGTAATCTCGACCCCGCCATCGCCAGCTGAACCCGAGTTTTTCTGTTTCGATGGCGATCCAGACCGCGGACAAATCAATGGCGATTCCCGTGAACGCCGCAATGCGGATATCCAGAAGGCCATCGATTCAACGGACGCAGCTGAGGACGTCCATATTACATTCTCATTTGTGACGTCCCTGGAGTGGGTAGAGATTGGGTCGAGGGTGCTTGTCATGCCTGGTGCTTCGACATTGGCATCGTCTGCGCCTCTGTCAGGGTCGGGGCCTGGTGGGCTTTCAGGGCTGGAGGGGTTTGTGGGGCGGGTTAGGGTGGTAATATGATGGAAGCATGACTATGAATGGTTTTCATTGCTATTTAGTTCCGGTTTGTTATTTTACTTGTTTGTTTATTTCGGACAATTAGTTAGTCAGTGTTTTGGGTTAGACTGCTCTAATTTCTCGCAATATATGGCGATAATGATATCCTACTTGTTTGACGTACTGTACTTACATTCGATTGACGTTCTCACAGCTGACATGTGTACCCCGGGCATTATTGCATAGTTGATAAATCCATGAGCCTTTAGTAATAGAGATAGGAGATAGTTACAGGCATGAATTTTATGGACATCCAAATTCGCAACACCACCTTCTCGACTTGCACCCCTGGCTCTGCTGGTGACCGTTGCAACCATGATGCTGCCGAGAGTTTGATTCTAACTGGGTTGACAGAAAGAGATACTCGTCCATAGACAGAGTTGCCAGGGCAGATAGCGTAGGATTTATTTCACTAGGAATATAAGATTTGTCCAAAGGGTTTGTATAAGGGTTGACCCATACAACCGCAATCTGGGAATATAGAACAGGAATAGCCACCGCATGAAGAAGCGAGCAGGTCAGAGCCATTGATGCCAGATCATTTCGAGATGTAGCTTAATGGGAGTCAGTCAGCATTAATGAATCGAAACGAAATTGCTCGCGTGCCTATTCGGCAATCTCTCTGGGCATATACACTGGCAACTCGAGCAAATTCTCTTATCTTGATTCCACTGTATCTTCCATTATCGGCTATTGGGATACGCTCATTGTATATCTGGGATCTTCTCTCGCTTCTCAATGCTGATAGTCGAAGAATATGAGAAGAATGAACCGATTCTGATTATCTGATTCAATATCTTAGTTTACTTGTAAGTTTTAGCCTTTTATCGACTGTCTAATGCTATGACCGGCTCTGTACTAGTGCTGCATGGGGGGTACCTGATGTCTTGAACCCGAATCTCCCATATGCGACGAGTATGTGACTGATATATGTGCATATTTGTATTATAGAGCAGTATATAGATCTATTACAAGAATATCAATACCTAACACCCAGAATCTAGAAATCACCTTAACTAATCAACGCCTTTCAAACTTCAATGGCACATCATCCCTCATCCCCAGAGTCAAAAACGCCGAACTCTCCTCCAATGCTTTCTCAGCCCTCTCCCTCGCTCCCTTACCTCCAACAAGCCTAACCCTCCACCGCCAAAGAACAACACTCAGCGCAGCCACAAACTCTACCTCCGCAAACTTCTTCCCCATACATGCTCTACTCCCGTCACTGAAGGGAATGAATGCACCGCGGATGGGCTTGTGCACAGTTTCAACATCTAATCCTGCGACGGATAAGCCCTCGATGCCGTCGTTTTTTGCGAGGAAGCTGGTTGTGTTGCGTTTGTCCCAGCGGGCCGGGAAGAAAGTGGTTACGTCCGGACCCCAGTACTCGGGGGAGTAGTGCAGGGCATTTGCGTTGAGAGAGATGGGGACGTTGGGCGGGAGGGTGTAGGTGGTTGAGGCGTAGGTAATGGGGGCGGGGGTGTGGGAGGTCCATTTTGGGAGGGTTACTACTGGGGGGTAGAGGCGGAGGGTTTCGAGCTGGTACTGTCAGCTAAAGTCTGCTAGGAGGACTGGGAGAAAGTTGAGGACCATAACGCAAAGCGGAGCAATTAGCTTAGGAAATACCCGAGCGTAGTCCCATTTCGCTGAATCTTCAGGTTCGTCACGAACAGCCTCTTTGATGCCCTCATACAACCAATCCTGGATATCCTGATGCATCGCAAGCAGCACAAACGCAAACCGCAAACTCGTAGAAGATGTCTCGTGCCCTGCAATCGTAAACATGAACAAATTTCCCAGTATCTCCTGATCCGAGAGACCAGCACCATATTTCGACTCTGTGCCTTCGTCCCCTTGTTCTTCTCGTCGCGCACGAACTAATCCGGCAAGGAGGTTGTGCGCGTCGCTTTCTTCTTCCTGGGACATGGTAATGAGTGCATGGAGGTATTTGCCTAGGTTATGGTATGCTTTTAGGGGCATTTTGAAGAATGGTGGTAGGGTGCAGAATAGCCATTTGGGAAGGATGCCAACTGCCAGGAAGATGGAGGTCAGATTAGGGCCTATATACTCCGCAACAGAGCGGAATGTGAAGTCATATCCTGGTGGTGGTGATGCCAAATCTCTGAATTGGTTATGCGCATTCGACCTTTCTGTAGTGTTTTCTAGAGAAGGTTTGAAAGGGAGGTGTACGCCAAAGCCCGCACCACAGAAGATATTCAGGGTTAATTTTGTGATGTCGTCTTGAAGACCGACGATGATGAGATCGGACTTGGAATCCTTGGTGCTGGGGTGTTGGTCTACCCAGTGAGCTGTCATTTCGATAGCCTGGCGGATGCTTTCTTGCCAGACTAGCGCGTTGTTTTTTTCGTTGAAAGATGATTGCGTGTAGCGACGATGGCGGATCCATTCTTTCTCTTCGCTCTGTCTATGTTAGCATGTCAGTTGTATCTCTATATGGTCTACTCACAGTAAGAACATTTGAGCCATATATCTCCATCCCCTCTGCTATGATCAGCGACAACCACCACAATATAATCCTGGAGAGCGAGGCATACCATACTGGTGACTTGGCTTCGGAAACCTCCGCCTCTGTCTACAGACCTGCGCAATAACACCTGCATCCCCAACTTGACAACTCACCACCCCCGGCGTAACAATCAAATAAACACCCCCATATTTCCTCTTCAATCGATCCTTGACCGTCCACCGGAACTTGAACCCGCTATCGTAGACATAATCTGCCAAGTTTGTTGGGAACCAGTTCTTCACGAGGTTTTGGAAGGTCCGGGTTTCGAGAATACCCAGCCAGAGGATGTTGACTTCGGAGACCGGGAAGATGTAGTAGGGGAGTTTGGTGGAGCGGGCGAGACGGATGTTGTGGAGGAGATTGAAAAGGGGGCGGAGGGTGAAGAGGGCGAGGATGAGGAGGATTATGGTGACGATGGCCATGATATTGTTGTTGTTGTTGTTGTTGTTGTTGTTGTTGTTGTTGTTGTATAAAGTGATCGGTGTGGTTTGAGGTGATGATCGTGCACATGATGCCCTTTTATATGTTCTATGCCGGATATAGCGGTTTCTCGTATACTTTGTACATTTCATATCTTGTACAACCTGCCTCGAGAAGCACTTCAGTCGCCATAGTCATATTTATCACAATCCACCATGTATACGAATGGGCCAATCACAAGCCCTAAGTATAAATGGAACAACATTCCCTGAATCGGAATAGCGTTTCAGCCTTATCTTGTCTTACGTCACGTGTCATCCAGCATAATTGTCAGATGACGCCGTTCACCTGTGCTGCTACGCTGAATTAGTAGTCTGTCGATTTGATTTCGATATTATCAGTGCGCCATGGTGGATGCCCCAGTGAAGAGATCCCGAGCGAGTAAGCCCAAAGTGCGGACAGGCTGTCTCACCTGCAAGTCAGTTATCGAGGCCAACTGATAACAAGACAAACACTAAATAGTCCAAATCAAAATAGGGCACGCAGAATCAAATGCGACGAGGGAAAGCCGGAATGCAAACGGTATGACACGTCACAACCCAAGCATCTTGGGACTCGAATTGATAATGCATGCAGTTGTAAAATTGGCGGGAGAAAATGCGATGGTTTTCTCCCAGCCCAAGAGGAAATGCTTGCAATAGTGCCCAAGCAGCTTATCGGTGTGCCGACAGTGACATTGCCAGGCGAGTCACGAGCGCTGGAGTTTTTCTTCCATAAGAGTGCGCCGCTGTTGGCGGGGTTTTTTGAAAGTGCGTTTTGGAATGGGAGTGTGTTGCAACTTAGTCTTGTGGAGCCGGCTATTCGGCAGGCTATTGCGGCTATCGGGTCTGTTCATGAAGAGCAGGGGTTGAAGAGATTGCAGGGTGGCAGTGGCAGCAGCAGCAGTACAGGGTTCGTAACTGCCGTGCAACTGTACAACCGGGCGATTCGGTTGGTTATCGCGAGGGCAGAGGTGGATCCAAATGCAATTCCCGCGGTGACGATGGCAAGTATCCTGTTTACTTGTTTTGAGTTTCTTCGCGGTAATGCTCCAGCCGCGGCATCGCACATCACCAGCGGTGTCCGTTTGTTACAGGAGTGGCGCGATAAAACTGGTACTCAGCCTATAGGCGCTTGGGGTCAATCACACAAGTCATTCGAATCACAATTCATGGAAACAGAGCTCGCGCCAATTTTGAGTCTCTTCAACCTCAACACATGCGAGTTCGGTCCCGGCCAGCGCACCCGGATTATTCTCAATGCGGTCGACAAGCAGGACTTTCTTGTGCTTCCAGAGAAATTCGGGAACCTCCGTGAATCACGCGTTGCACTCGTAGACCTGGTCACCTCAACATCCGTGCTATTCAGTAACATGGACGAGAGCATTGGCAAAGGACAACCCCTCGATACCAATCTCGTAGAAGTCTTCAGTGGCATCCGCAATAATCTCGACCGGTGGAAAGTCAAGTTCGAGGAACTCGTTTACCATAAAGAGGCAACGTGGGATAAGAAACAAAGGAGCGCTGCGGACAATATCCGTATTATGTGGTACAGTACGGAAATAGGAATTCTTTCTTATACAGCGGGAACCGAAACGACATGGGATGGGCGCCGGGATAGCTTTGAAGAGATCCTGCGCTTGTCGGAATTGCTCATTTCAGACACGGATCGCTACCCGGATGACCTTTCCAGGACACTCAGTCTGGACTTGGGGTTGATATTCCCTCTGCACGCCGTTGCCTGGAAGTGCCGCTGGCCACGTCTTCGTCGTCGGGGATTGAACCTTCTGCTTCGAAGCCCAAAACGGGAGTGGTTGCTTGATGCAGGGAGGTACCACGCGTTATTCACACGAGTCATAGAGATCGAGGAGGCCGCACTATCCGTCTCTCGTATGGATGCCCCGGATGCAAACGAAGAGGACTTCCTCCCCCCCGAACATGCGCGCATTTACGACTTTTACTGCCAGCCACTTTCCAAGGGCTACACGTCAGAAACAGGCAAAATGTATACATTACACGTTGTGACTTTCGAAACTAAGCCCGATGGCCCACAAGGGGAACCGCAATACTACACTGAGAGTATTTGGATGCCGACTACTACCACTCAGGTAGGAGACAAAAGAGAGCAGGAAGCCGTAAATGAGATTGCACCATTGACGAACCTGCTATCCACTAAACAGTGGGCAAGGCCTAAAGTGACAGATATGCAGACGGCGAGTCTGTTGAAAGGGGTTGTTTTTGGGTTAGAGTAATATGTTAATGCCTTTTTGTCTGAGGCTCCTGGTTGTCGATTTTTTTTCTTTTTGTTTGTTTCTTTCTTTTTTTCCCCCTTGTCATGGCAACCTTATTTGAACCACCTCCAACTACCCATGCATCTTTAGAATTATGCATATGCCATTAATTGCCGAATATCCTGGGTAGTCATTCTTCATCAGCCTCGTACTGATTGATCAATTGACTGTAAACTGTTCCTGGAGTCTCATGTTTCCGGTTCTTGTTTGATTGTTTATATCGTTCAAACTATTTTGTTGGTTATCCCACCTTATCTACCTTCTTCCCCATGAAAGATTGACGGTATTTCAAATCGACCAAGCCTCTAATCTAGAAGGACTAGCAGTGCTGATAGAACGCTCACGAGGTTAACTTAAGAGCGCTGCGCAGCAGCCTAGACTGACACAATGAACAATAATCCTGGTCAAAGCCGCCAATTTATTCCCCTTGTGCATTGCCAAAATGGCCCAATCTCAGTGGTCTTTTGGAAGTTCTTACAGGGCTATTCCAGGACAATGCATTACAAAAATTGAACAAGACATCTAAACCTAGCACCGATGTCGAAGTCCTCTAAAATCTTGAACTCTTGGAATTAGAATGACCTCTCCTTCCTTAATGCTATTTATCAAGTATACCCTTGCACTCTTGAAATTGTGTTGCTTAATGCATGCGCCAAAAGGGACTCTGGTGTTAACATGGGCATGCTATACCAAATAATACTTTGTAGGCATCAATCATGTCTGAAAAATATCCACTTTAACTTCAAATAAAACAGGGACGGGGTAATATATCTTCTCATGTTCAGATGGGGGATGCATTCATTCATCACAGGTGGAAATATGCCACAACTTCGCAAGCTCTTTATGAGTATTTCTGAATGAGGCTTTGTAAGCTTTTTATTTATCTCACTAATTGTTACCAATTACAACTAATGGCGTTGAATATGCTGAACTTCTTCCTACAACAACTTCCAAATCTCCCCAACCTCCATGTCTTATACCTCAAAAATTCCTCGAGACTAGAAATGGATCAGCCGGGCTAAATGAGATAGCCAAACTTGCCCAGCAGGTCCTTAGCATCATCATCTTAATGCCTCACCTTTCACTCATCTACATCGGAATTGACCATAATTGCTACAAGATTACCAGAGACGAGTATAGAAATGATGTCCTTGGCATGAATTTTTCCGACTATGTTTCCGAGAGAATGTGGGAAGGTGATCTCGAACCAAGTGAGAGCAATTCCTCAGACGGTTCTCCGCGCCTAACACCCGCGTTGCCCCAACCACTGGCACCGCCATCGTCAGACAATGAACTCTATATACTCGGACTTCGAGGACCGCGGTCATTTGAGGCTTACCATTAGGAGGCCATGTCTGATAATGGACAAGATCCTCAGGTGAGATTTCGGTTGCACGAGGTACCTGAGCATGCCGAATTGTTATGTGATGGGATAACTGGAATTCTCAAGGGGATGCATGAGGTACTGTGATCCCCCTTCCCTTAGCTTGGCTTCGTATCACAAACCATTTCCTTCTTATTTTATATTTTACCATTGAATGGTAGTTGTAGAGGTCCTATTCTGCCTGCCATTGGGAAACCACCATTTAGGGCTCAGGATAATTAGGCTCATGATTGGATATCCTATTCCGTTGCTTGTCCAGAGCTCTTGCATGATGTCTCAAAGTATAGTGATTTTGGACCATCATCTTAATAATTTACGGCTTTATAAATTTCGTTATATCTAGATACCCGCTCAATGTCGCAGGGCGACATTTGGAACCATCCTCTCAATAAACTACACACCTCAAATGTCAGTTCAAGCCACACAATTCTGAATAGTGATCGATACTTACATGCCAGGTATTATCCGCCAACCTCGTCTTCAAAAAGCACTTGAACGCCATTTCCTTCTTCAGGAAATGCTCATAAACTTCCCTTCCTCGGCCTCCTTCGCCATCATCCAGAACACTCCTCAACTCTTCCCGCACAATCGGCCACCCACCATGCTTATCCAGTCCCAAAGCATCCATGAGGTACCCTATATGGTTTTGCAGCACGACATGGTGGATACGGTCCCATACCTTTATGATATCATCCATGAAGATGGGGTTGTTGCCCCGTGCGAGAGTATCAAAATTGAACTTATGGGCTGTGAATGTTGGATTGTGGATCCGGGAGCCTCCCAGGTCGCGAAGGGCAAATCCTTGGATGGCTAGGGTATCTCTATTGACGCGGACAACCATGTTTTGCCCATGAGCTTCGAGGCCAATACCGTAGTCAACTAGCGGTGGGATGGTTAGTTGGAAGAGGCATCGGGTATATCTATCCGCATTAGCACCACCCAAAAGCAGAAATGTCGGGGGTAAAACCTTCTGAACCAGTCCCATTTTTGATCTAGCGTGTCAAGTCCGAACAATCTCTCCGCGTAAACCTGACTTCCCTGACACGGCCGCTCAATTAACGCAGCTGCTATGACCAACGCCTCCCCATTCCGCTCCGCCCGTGGCCCTACATCTTGTGTCTGTAAATATCTACTTCCCGGCACTTGGCTCGATGGCAATGGATCTAGATGTATCCCAGAGTCAACTCAATTTGACCATCACTTCATATATGGTAAGAAATCCCTCCAGATATGGAATTGACGATACTGACATTGGCACTGACACATAGATAGTTCAAGGTCTCGTCCCGTTACTCACGGGTAATCTTTCCGATCGGAAAGGCCGGAGACCAGTGCTTCTCATGTCGCTCATCATCTACCTCGGGGTGAACATCGGATTGGCATGCCAAAACAGCTTCGCAGCGCTTATTATCCTTCGCTGCTTCCAGGGTTTCGGTAGCAGTGGCGCAACCGTAGTGTCGATGGCCACGGTGGCCGATATGGTTACTAGAGCTGACCGTGGAAAATACATGGCGTATACCTCCCTAGGGTTCACAATTGGGCCGGCCCTCAGACCAATATTGGGGGGTATACTGACCAAATTTCTGGGGTGGAGGAGTATCTTCTGGTTTTTAGTTATCTTCGCGGGAGTCATGATTCTTATCATTATGTTTTTCTTGCGAGAGACGTGTCGCACCGTTGTTGGAAATGGCAGTCTGCCTCCCCAGTCGTGGAATAAACCCGTGTTCCTTGAGTTGAAGCATCGACGACATCCACCACCGGCCCCTACAGCTTCTGATCTTGAGGCTCGTCTGACACCAGCATCTAGCAAGAAAAAAGAGCAACGCCATTGCCTCGTACTCTGGGGTATCGTTGCCAGTCTAAGAGTCGTCCTCAGCAAGCCCGTTGGTCTGGTAATCCTCTGCAACACATTTTTCTACTGTGGGTTCATGGCAGTCATGACCAGCATTCCCGCCCTCTTAGAGCAAAAGTTCAACCATAACGCCCTCCAAATTGGCCTCTGCTACATCCCCTTCGCAGCTGGTTCTTTCGCAGCCCGCTGGACAACCGGAACCATAGCCGACTGGAACTTCCGGCGTCACGGCCGTAAAGTCGGGGTAGAAGTCAAACACAATCAGCAAACACGCGACCAACTGCAACAAATTCCACTGGAAAAAGTCCGGCTGCAGATCACGTTGCCGTTGGTGTACTTGTCCTGCGTCTTCGTGCTCGGATACAGCTGGATCATGAACTATGATATTTCTATTGCGGGCCCGCTGATTATGCTGTTCTTTATGGGTAATACAGTTATTGATGTGAATACTACACTCTCCACGTTGATGATCGATTTGCATGCGTAACGGCCGGCGACGGCAATGGCTGGGATGAACATGTATAAGTTTCTTTGCGGGGCTGGTGTCGTTGCTGCTGTGTTGCCATTGACAAAGGTTGTCGGGATTGGTTTCTTGGGGACTATAATTGCCAGTGTATGGCTCCTCGCATCCCCTGGATTATGGTTGATATATAGTTATGGACATGCATGGAGGCAAAAGTTGCAGAAAGAGCAGACTTGACTCGTCTGCTCCGGACTCATTTGCATGATTTTCAGCATGTAATGAAAGCCGTAGAAATAATACCGATTTTGTCCGCCCAACAAAAGCCGAGCCATAGAATTCATGACACAGACAAGAAAAACGGTGTTAAGGGTCAATGATTGTCTGGTTGTTCGTTGATGAAGTTGTGTGTTGTAGTCGTAGGTCACGTGTCGAAGCTCTGGAGTTCAGCCTCTGATGAGCCGCGACCAGACCTCCAACCAAACCACAGCTTTGCGAGCAGCTTTGAGGAAATCCTAGCCATTTAACAATAATCGTGCCAGTATCCCTCACTCTTAATTTTTTGAAAATATCCTTCTATCTCTTCCTTTTTTGAATCTCTTGCCGTGCAATAGCAGTACGGAAATCCGCCTAAAATGAAGCTTGTCCGGTAAGTTGAGCTACGTTGTTGCTGTTGGATGATTCGCGTGTGAAACTGCTGGAAGGTGCTCAGGCATATATATGATCGCATTGAGCTTTTCATTTTTTGCTCGACAGGAAAGGTTGGGCTAACGCGGACATGACAGCTTTTTGATGAAATGCGCCAACGAGACCGTGACGATCGAGTTGAAGAATGGTGCGTCTACCCCATTCATTCTCGCTGCCATACTTCTTTTCCGGCTCGACTAATAGACAATAGGAACAATTCTTCACGGCACCATCACCTCCGTCTCGCCGCAAATGAACACCGCCCTGCGCACCGTCAAGATGACACCCAAGGGCCGCGACCCCATCTCCCTCGACACGATTAACATCCGTGGTTCTACGATCCGGTACTACATCCTCCCCGACAGTTTGCCACTGGATACTCTCCTCGTCGACGACCAGCCGAAGCCCAAGAACAAGGCGCGCAAGGAAGCAGACCGTGGTGGTCGCGGCGGTGGCCGTGGTATGGGACGGGGTGGCCCCAGAGGTCGTGGTCGCGGACGGGGACGGGGTAGGGGATTCTAAGCTTGGGTTGAAAGCTGAGGTTTAAAGGGTTTCATTTTTTGTTTTCTTATCTCATTTCTATCGAAAGGAGTTCTTGTTTTGGGGCCTGTTTCGTTTGTTTCTTCGCTTGTGCGATGGGCAAAAGATATAATCTCATTCTTTTTCATTACAGTCGTTGAGATGAGAATGCTCGGACGAAGCTGAGGATTGAGTTCACCCTGTCAAGGGAGCGTGGATAATCCCGAGAGCAAGGCATCGTGTCTGCATCGATGAGTTGGAGAGTGTGACGCAGTCGGCTCTGGAATCAACGGGAGAGGATACTCTCCAGCTGAAAAGTATCTAAACCACTACACCGTCCGACGGTACCAAGATATCCAAGAATATAATCCAACAGAAAGCTACCTAACTACTCACTCCTCCATACTCTCACAATTACCAACTTCTCCCACCCCGCCTGCTTACCACTATTCCCAACTGTCTCAGCCTTCCATCCATTTCCCCACCCCCGAATCCTGTCTTTAACCTCCTCCGGCCGATTCTGCTTGCAGAGCAAAACATACGCAACTCCACGCACAGGGTCCAGAATTCCCGGGATCGCCTCTAAAAGCCGATCAGTTGTTTCCATTCCGTCGACACCACCGGCATACGTCAGAGATAGAAAGTACGAGTCCTGCTCAAATTTGGCTGATCGTGACAGGTCCTTCTTGTCTTCTTGTTCTGTCACGGTGGGCAACCGGGGTGCTTCTTCTGACGGGACATAGGGGGGATTGAAAAGGAGAACGTCGACGCTCCCTGGTCGGAGAGGTGTACAAAGATCGGACATTATGGAAGCGATGTATGGTGTTTTTGCTGTTGGTACTGACTCTGATGCCGGTGTTTGTTGTTCACGAACCGCCTTAACAGCTGTCTCCCGCGTTGCTAAACAAGCATTCCGATTCACATCCGTCCCCAGAGCAAGGATATCCCGTCGACCAAATATCAACTGCGAATTGGCGGCTACGAAGCCCAGAACGACGCCCGAACCGGTCCCGACTTCGACGACTAGAGGTGATGTAGATGTGCTTTGTGTGTTATTGGCCGGTGCTGTAGTGGGTGTGCTGTTGAAGCGATTTGAGAGCCATGTTGACTCGGACTCGGAGGAGAGCGTGTCGAGAAAGAGGTAGGAGTCTTCGGACGGTTCGTAGATGGTGTCAAAGGAAACGTGGGAGGTACATGGTGTTGGAAGCATTTTCGGAAGTGATACCTGGTTATCGTAAAGGGGTGACTAGGAGCGGGTTTTATGTGCGCATTGAGTCAATTGCCGTGGTCAGAGAGAGTGTCGGAGGTCCTTTATATCGTTCAATGATCAATTGAGTCTCGCTGCTGCTGTGCACTTTTCTATGACTTCAAAACCAACCCCTCCCCACCGCCTACCGATCCCGATCCCGAACCGCGGCAGTAAATAATCGGAACCCTCTTCCTCAACTACAACTACAACACTCTTAATCAACCAAAAGCAGCAAACAAGCTAATTCGTCAAAATGAGAGTCTTTCCCCGGTTATTAATGGCCACTCCATCCTCAATGGGCTCCAAGTCTAGCCTCACTGAAGCCGTCGCCCTCCTCCCACCCGTCCAGCTCTACCGCCGCCTTCTCCGCGTTCATCGCAAGAAGCTCGATCCGGAGATGCGCATTCTGGGCGACTTGTATGTCAAGGCGGAGTTCCGGGCGCATAGGGAGACCGAAAATCCGGTGCACATTGTATGTTTTCTCTCGGGGAATTATGTTGCGCGTGGAAATGTGGGGGAATAAAACTGACTGGAGCAGATCGGGTTCTTAACGGAGTGGCAACTGTATGCGCAGAAGTTGGAGGGAGATGCTTGGGCTGGGGATAAGTTGGACAAGGCGAAGTTGGATAAGATGAGTGGTGGGTTCTTATTCCGGCTTCTATATCCGAATCTATGCTAATGCCGAACGGCTATAGACCAACAACTCGGGCAGCTTTACGAATTGATGCAGACCATCAAAAGCAATGAAGAGGGAGGGGGAGAAAATCAATGATTTATACTCAGAACTGCATATTAGCTTGGTTTTCCTACATACGAGCCTATCCGGCCATCCCGACACCAACCGGACGACAGATGATCGTCCGCATACTTTGCTCCGGTCTCCTTTCTGCCCACTCGCATCTCTGAACATGATGACTGTTTTTTTTTTTTTTTTTTTTTTTTTTTTTTTTTTTTTTTTTTTTTTTTTTTTTTTGGTTGCAACTGTGTCTGTATATATATACCCCGATGGATCAGTTGCTGCTTTTGTGATGATGGCAACTTCATTTTATACATTACCACTTGTGAAACACAAATTCTCTCGAGAGTCAGAAAGGATACACATCATACTTCTGCACTCTAACACCGACACCCGCACACCATCGAAAGCAATCCGCCAGTGACCTTAATCACCATAATCGGCAAAGGAAAAACACCATATACCAATATCAAAACGATGGTCTTTTTGTTCCTCAATTCAAACATCTGATTCGTGGCTTGATAAAACAACCGAACTGCAAAGATAGCCACAACAAGTTGCAGACATAGCGCATACAGTGGCCCGAGGAGGGGACTATCCAGGATTGCCGGAATTGTGGCGAAGGTTGCTATGAGGAGGAGGATGTTGAAAACGAGTAGGCCACAAAGAAAAGCGGTTATATACTCTGATTGTATGGGTAGGGTCATGTTGTGAGGGTTGAGGCTATGAAAATGGGGTTGGGAATGTAGAGATGTGTTACATAGGACTGCACTTCCATCGGTGGATATTGTATTTTCCTTAGCGCATCCTTCTCCGGTCTCCATATCTCGGTAGTGCCGGAAGACTCCGTGTTGCCCTAACATAGGTATACACTAGTGTGGGGTATTTTCTTGAGCCTAGCCACGACGTGAATACTGGCAGAGTGGCTATGTATAGTCTAGGCATGTTTATCCGGTCTAACCGGGGTGACCTTAAAAAGAATATGGACGAATTGTGCTCCTTTATAGAGCATATGGATCAATATTTTAAGACAAACTGGATTCGAACATATGTCAAAGTTTCAGACCTCTTCAAGTCGACCTGTAACTATATCATCCTTGCAAGTACCAGGATGAACCTCAAGCCCAGGTGTTCCGTCAAAAGACCCAGCTTTCGCGCTCTCAATGGCACGAACAAGATCGAATGAACCGCTCCTTTCGGACCTCCCACTTCCAGACTTGTCACTCCCAAGACCTGACCTTAACGAGATATACTGGTCTCCTTTTGGTACAGAGGCAATATTAGTCGGTGCGATGTCCAAGAACGAGGACGAGTCCTTCCTCTCCTTTCTCGAACGAAACATAATCGGAAAGCAAACATGCATGTAGCTTTTCCATCGCAGTACAACGGGGCCCAGAAACATCCTCCTCATAGACACAATACCAGCAGAAACAATCACAACAATCCTATCAGGAACAAGCCGGACAAGGAATCCAACTGGAAACGTCAGCAGCCCAAACAGCATGGACCATCCCCATTGTGCTCCTGTCAGGGCTACGGTCCCAAACGCCTCGCCGCCTTTGAAGATGATAAGAACCTGGCCTGCAACAATCACAGCCTGGACGCAAAAGAAGCTGTAGTTGTGGGTAATCCCGTCGAGGAAGTTCCAGCCGTTGTCGACTCTTCGGGAACTATCATTTGCCCGGTGTTAGTTTACGAGTGTTCTGATAAAGAAGAGGGGAGGGAGTGCTGACTTCAACATATTGAAGAACTGCATCCAGACGTATATATTAAATGTCATCGTCTGTATCTGGTGCTTTTCTGTTTTCGTGCTACAATGGAATAACCGCTCCCCCGCATAATACAGTACAAAAATAACGGCGAGCTGGTATATGGACTGACCAGCGATCATCTTCCACATGGTTATCTTGACAATCGGAGAGCCTCTGGGCTCTGGGGTGCGTTTGAGTAGTCGACGAGTAGGTCTGTCTGTGGCAAGTGCCAGCGCTGCAAATGTGTCCATGATAAGATTGATCCATAAGAGTTGGACGACGGTGAAAACGGATGCACTTGTGCCGCCGGATAGGGCGGAGACGATGGTGAGGATACCGGCAGTAATGTTGATTGTGAATTGAAACTGTTGGATTATTAGTGGCTGCTTTTCATTAACATAGCTAGGGGTGTGAATTACCTGCAGGAACTTTTCCGCAGCGTCATTGACAGTCCTCCCCCACAGAATGGCCTTCACAATGGAAGCAAAGTTATCATCCATCAGGATGATAGACGATGCCTCCTTTGCCACCTCAGTCCCCTGAATCCCCATTGCAAATCCCACATCTGCCTCCTTGAGCGCCAAAGCATCATTGGTCCCATCGCCAGTCACGGCAACGGTCTCCCTCAGACGTCTCAGATGGGACACAAGCCTAAGTTTATCCTCAGGGCTGGATCGAGATAGGATCTGCAATCGCGGTAGAACCATGTCTAATTGAGAAGAGGATAACTTGCGAAAGATTGAGCTATCCATTGCAATACCTCCAGGTTGATATATACCACACTCTAGAGCAATTGCTTTTGCGGTAAGAAATGTGTCGCCGGTGACCATCCGTACGCTTACCCCCGCTGATTGGCAGTCGTGTACCGATTGGGTGACTTCTGGTCTTAGTGGGTCTCGTAGGGCAAACATTCCAATTAGCACCATATCTTGCAGAGCTTCGTCGAGGAGATCGTTGCACTCAGTCCCGACTGGCTTTTGTAAAGGCCAGTAGTCAAAGTCACGATATGCGAGAGCTATCGAGCGAAGCGATTGGCTTGAGAAGCCGCGCAAATCATCTCCCATGGTGTTACGCATTTCATCTTGTAAGTTACAGGAGAAGAGACCAGTATGAGAATCCGTTAAAATGCAACTGCATTTCTGCAGGATCGTCTCAGGAGCCCCCTTGAGATACACTCGATATGCGCCGGATGAGATTCGCACGGCAACAGCCATGCACTTTCTGTTGGCGTTGAATGGAAAGAGTTCGACTATCTCCGCCCTTTTTCTTTCGGCAATCACGCTGTCTGCATGAAGATTCGATTGTGCAAATTCGATTAGGGCAACCTCCGTACTAGTACCCACAAGCTGTACCGCTTGTCCGTTTGCTTTTTCCAGTGCCGTGGAATTGAGGATGACTGAATCCTTGATTAAATCTCGAGTCAGACCAGATAGAGAAGCCATCGCACTGCGTAGGGACATGACATCAGTCTTGATCTCAGTCCTCGAAGTGGTATTCTCGTCCGTAAAAGGCGCATAGGTGGCAACGCGACCAGCCACTACAGTCATCTTATTCTGAGTCAACGTCCCCGTTTTATCGGAGCAGATAGTGGTAGCATTTCCCATAACCTCGCATGACTTGAGTAGCCGAACCAAATTGTTATCCTTTAACATTCTGGCAGTTGCATATGCCAGCGACATTGTGACGGCTAGCGGAAGACCTTCCGGAACAGCAATCACAACGACCGTGATCGCCAAAATAAAGACATTAAGGAAGCTTTTACCTTTTTCTCTGGGTCCTCCTTTAATACCCCTCAAGTGCACGAGATACCGAATGAAAATGATGAGGAAGAACACGCCGCCGACGATCAGGCCGACGCGGACAATGTATTTCGCGAGTGCCCCGAGCTTTTGCTGTAGTGGTGTTTCTTCTATCTCGTTATGCAGGGACATGAGGATCTTCCCGTAGCTCGAGTTCTCTCCAACAGAGATGACCAGGAATGTGCCGACGCCGTTGGAGACTTTGCTACCGCTTAGCATGAACGGGTCGTAAATCACACTGTCGTCAATATTTCCCTTCAAAGCAGGTATCTTCTCAATAAAATCGGACTCTCCCGTGGAAGACGATTCATCGCATTGGACACTGAACCCGTGTATCAGAATCCCATCGACTGGAATCACATCTCCCGTTTCGAGATGAACCAGATCACCCACGACAATCTCATGAATAGAAATCTGCTGCGCCCTCCCTGATCTGATAACTATGACATCTCGCTCATCGTTTTTCTGATTCAATAGCCGGAACTTGCAGTCCATCTGGAAATCATTAATCGCAGTGGCCAGGACAATAACCACCACCGCAACGATGATCGAAACACCTTCCACCCACTGGACATCGGGCTCTTCCAGCGCCGCACTAATTGACTGATATATTCCCAGGGCCAAATCAACGGTGGCTAAAACGGTCAGGAGGATCATCATTTTGTCATTGAATGCCATCCATGCGAAGCGCCAGAATGTCTTGCGCTTTCTTGGGGGGAGTCGGTTTTCGCCATATTCCTTTTTCCTGGCTGTGAATCCGGGGTCTATCTTGACTGTGTCTCCCCCGCCATCTTTGAGGCCGGTTGTGAGGTCTGTTCTCAGACTGGCTGCTAATCCGGTGAGGCCGCCTAGAGAGTGGAGAGCTTTGAGGTCTTTTGTTGCTGTGAGCTCGCTTAGCTGACTCTGGGAGACGCAGGACACGTTCAAGCCTGTGGTTTCCAAGTTATTATTCCCGGTTATTGGGGATAATACTGACTCTGCAGTATTCGTTGCAGCATCCGGCGATATTGAAGTTATTTCATCCATCAGGCACTTATAGCAATTTATGTGTTCCATTCGTTAGAGTACCATATTAAACAGCCCGGTAAAGACAAGAGGTTCCATAAAGCTATGAGAACATTTAGGAAGATTCTGAAACGAGGCTGTGCTGTCCAGGATGTGGTATAAAATGACCGGTATGGATTACACTGCACTACCACAAAGAGTATCCCATATGACGACTACCTCGGTCGAGTTTTCCGGAACAGGAGTGCCCTCATGGACGGAATATGGTGCCGAAGATTATTGCGCGCTTTGGCACTTGGAGTCACCCATCAAGTATCACAACACGCCTTTTATAAGGATAATCGCCGGTTGATTGACGTGGATGAACTACCTTGGTGATGAGGCTTGGTGAAGGTGCGTAATTTTTTTTCTGCAAACTTCCATGAGGCTGTTTATAATCTTTGCTAAGTTAGGTCATGGGCGGTACATCTTTCGAGATTGGTAGACACAGAAGAAAACGAGGGATATAAAGAATACTGTTATTCTTTCATATATCCTTATGGTCCTTTCTAGAAATAATGAGCCTGACTCAGTAGATCCTGGACTCGGCATGAATGGCGGTAGTGCCAAAGACGACGACGGGAGTTTTCCAAGCTTCTCGAGAATCGCAGGCTGGTGACATTCTTTAGCCAGTTGGTCTGGAGTCCTTCCCTGAGCGTCCTCCAAATTAGTATTCGCATCTGCATCGATGAAGAGTACAATAGTCTCAACATGAACGTTGGAAAATTTCCTTGTGAAGCGCCGTCCCAGTCTCATCCAACCCTTCATCCCCCAACGGCCCCTTAACGCCCATCTCGTTAATATCCAACCCCTCAAAAGCAAAACCCGCACCATTTCTGTATGTCCCGGCTTTGCAGCAAGAATTAAAGCATTACTGTTCTTGGCCAAGCTCCATGGTCGAGTAGCAATTCCACCACAGCGATATTCCCTCTCTCCGTCGCCACAGCCAGTGCCATTTTATATCCCTCCAGCAGATTCTCGTTAGGATTT